TGCAAATCTCGACCATCTGGCCACCCGCCGGGCTATTGTAAGGATCCTGAATTATCTAGGGGCCAGCTGGCAGGTGCAGCTCGGAGATTATGAATCCCTGCCAAGATCGGAGAGATGCTTTTATGATTTTCCACAATGGAAACTATTTGCAATGAGTTGCGATTTGTGGTCCTTTGTCTGAAATGAAAGAAGGATACTCCCGAGCAGGGTTCGGCTGATTCGGCTCAGCGATGTGTGGAAGTAATTGGTTTAATTTGGATTGGCAGGAGGGTAGAGGGACGCTTCATAGAGGAGCTATAGACAATACTATAGACAATATAGAATTTTCAATTTGAATGCACTCGCACCAAGACAGCCTCGTAACCCAGAGCGGAATAGGGTCACGGCTCCTCCATCTGTACATCCTCGGCCTGCATCCCTGTCAGCGGTACAGACACCATTGATTTATATAAATGGCCGCTTCGAGAGCACAATTTATGCACAACGCCAGCCAAGTCGTGTAGGCAATTAATTTCCGCTAACTGGAGGGGGAGCATCAACAGGAAGCCCGTAAAAAAAACTTAATGGAAGTGCAACAGAAATGAGGCAGACGTATCTGGAATAGAAATGCAGTGGGGCTGGGCCCAGGCCTATTTATAGAGCCGAACATAGAGTTCTATAGAGTGGAGTCTACTATTTAGATGTCTTGGCATTTTATGGACAGATCAGCGTCCATTTTATGGCTCTCTAATGAAGGCAGCTTATCCCTTTTTAAACAGACAGGTGTCCAGTTTTCGAGCAGACCCCACACAGACCCCAGAAACTGAAAGTCACGGGGATGATCTCGAAGACCCACCTCTCGATTGTTTGATTTGATCGGATGCACGGTCTAGAGTTACCTGGCTGGCTGGCGCCTTTGCTTGGCTGCTCCTCTTGCGTGATTCTTTGTTTTTAAATCCGACAGCGGACGCCCCGCAAAGGATTTCCAACTCCATTTGTTGAGTGCCAAGCCTCCGCTTTCCAAGTGCTTTTCACGCCCCGGAGAGGCATACCAAGTGAAAAGGAACTCCAACAAAGCGGCTTTGTGGCCTGGCTGCCACATTATCCCACTCCATCTGCCCCAACGCCCGCAACTGCTGCAACAGCTCCTTTGTCCTTCTCTGAGTCGTCGCGGAGCTCTCGAGTTACAATTTGATTTCTCAGCAGTTTGTTGTTTTCATTTCGTTTGGTTCCGTGCCCTGGCCAAAGTTTATTTATACCCGAGTGCCTGGCGAGGACCAGGGGCTGGGCTGGGGGCGGAGTGTGTGAAGAGCGAGGGCAGCTTATAAATAATTCAAACGATGCCCTCGAGCAGGGCCCCAGGAGCATGCCCAGGTTGCAAGCCAAACTTAGCAATGACCTTTGACAGGATCTTGGCAAAAGCAGGCTTCTCTTAAAACATTGTATTGAAAGTGATTTAACTAGAGGATTGGAAAGATATTTTATTATAATTTTAAAACATGTTCCAGCACTTATTTCATCGCACTGGAAATAAATTGAAAGGAAGCCTGGCCTGGAATCCATCAGGCGGGACGTGAGAAACATAACCAAGTACCTCCAATAAAATAAATTCTGAAAACCTATCTTCAGTTGAATATGCAAATGAGGACTTTAAAGAGTTGTATTAAAGCCAGCAACTACTAATCTTCCCACTTGGAGTTGCGCCTGCGCAGTCTTTGTTTTGAAGCTTAACCCAGATTTGTGGCAATGTTCGTGTCTGGGTGTCGAGTTGCGTGTTGCACAGCTGACTGGGCACCGAATCTGCAGCTTTTTGTCAGGTGAAAATTGAGGTGAAAGGCGGCTACCGTTTCCAACACGAGGCAGAGATCTTACCTCCAGATTTCGCCCATTTGGCAGATGGATGATAAAGTCGATTAGTATGCCCCAAGTACCCCAACGAGCTTGATGTCTTTATTTTTGCAAAGCACGAGTTTTGTCTAAAATTATCTCAACCACTTTCCCTTCTCATACTTATGCCCTGAACACCAATATCGATGAGTTCTATGCATGTTTTATAGATCCCATTTCCATAAACATGTCAGAGATGTTCGTATATAAATAATTTCCTTTTTAAAACATTTTCGAAAACGCTCTTTTCAATTTGGGAAACCCAAAACAATTTAATTAAATTGCGACGAGTGCGAGTGCGTGTGTGCTTTGGGGGTTGGTCTCTTGCTTTTGTTTTGAATTTCTCCAGCGTTTTCAATTCAAGTTTTTTATTATTCAATTACCCTCGAGAGTGGAGGAGGCTACAAATGCATCGGGAGACGGAGGCGGAGGAGGTGGAGGACTTACGTATGCATTTTGAATTTGTATTCAAAATCGAAGACCCGACTCCGACGTCATCGTCTCCTCGCCTTGTTTATCAATTAGCCACACATTCGATTCGATTTTTGTTTTCGGGGATCGGGAGGGAGACCGGGAGTGGGAGCCACGCCCTTATCGAAGTCCCGGAAGGGGGAGCTCGGCACTAATCTGTTTATGGCTGCGAGATTCTATTAATATTTTTCCCTAAAAGTGTTGGAAGTTTTATGATCCCATCACCCGGGATCTAGTGCCCAAATTGAGTTTGGCATATCTCGAGGCCCGGCAGTCATAATTTAGAATATTTAAATGCCTCCCAGCCATGATTGAAGAACCACTTGAAAAGGTTGGCCATTTCTCATTATTCAAACTGGGAATAGAATGGGTATTCCATCCACTATGTATATTCCTCTACATTCCCGTTTCAAGTTCACTCACAAAACCCCAAGCTATCCAGTGGATTCACTTTATTTTTTATGACACGCCGCCAGCAGTTATTAATAAATTTTTGGATGCCTTCGCTGATTGTTATACGAGCATGGTCTGCATGGAGGGGAGCAAGTATTTATTGGCTCGACTGGGGGTTGACAAATGCAGATATAGTACTGAAATGTGCCTAGCCTGGGAGATTCCTCAAAGCAAACAAACAAATGGCAAGAAACCCGCCCAGACGCATCCTTTGCCGCGACATCCTCGGAAACATCAAAGTGCGACGACGTCAGTTCGTCAAAGAAAGATATAGCAACGTCTGGCTGTAATTTGTCCTATTTCAGTCGCGAGGAATCCATCAACACTCGCTTATGACCCGGGCGATGACGGACTGGCAGACGGGTAGACGGACGGGTGGAAACCCATTCGCCGAACCATATGGTCGCCTCCGGCTCGCGACCCAAGCCCATCCGGAGGTCTTGGCTTAAGCGTGTGATAATTTCCCATTTTCCGAGGGCTGCACTGAAAGAAACTAACCAGATACTACTGATACCTTTCTGCAATATGAGTATTGAAAACACAAGTCTATCTCTAAGTGTCTCGCGAGTGATGATTTCCCCATGTCGAGTGCTATCTGGGCGTGGGCGTTGCTGTTGTGTTCTAGTTTTAATGAGTTTCCTCTCGGCGGAGGTTTCAGGACAACAGTCCTTGAGGCGCCTCCTGGCGCCAGTTGCCCGACAATCTGGTGTCATGCCCGTCCTGGATACAGAGTGCCACCAGGAGTGCATTTTGTTCGGCAGCTGGTTATCTTGTGAGAAATGCAACACCTTCTTGAAGACAACTTTTGGAGAAAACTTTTAGGGGCTTGTCCGACCATCTCATTAGTCATTTCGGCAATCAATCACTCAAGTTTACTTTGGGTTAATTGTTTTCTGAAAACAATAAGTCAGAAGTACCCTTTCCACATGGGAAGACGCAGTCAACAGATGGAATGGGAATGGATATGGGTCGAAGGGAATTTTCATTAGTCTGCCCGTCATTAGCTCTGTTTTATGATGTCTCACCCATTAAGCAGTCTTAGCCGCCCCCACCAGATCCTATTCATAGCCCCGTCTAATGGCCTCCCTTGGAATTTCATTTCGTTTTTGATTTGCGTGGCACCAACAGTCCCTCCTTGCCAAAAACCAGACTGTTTACTTTTGCCTATAAAATGAACCCATTAATCTTGATGCCAAATTAACGAAAGATACTTTTATTGTTCTGTGTTGGAGTCCAGGTAATCCGTCAGTGGTAATCCCCGCAGAACATAGAATCGAAATTAGTGGCATACCGAATATGGTAGCTTGCTTTAGGCCACCATAACGGACCCTTCACCCAGTTCCGACCCCCAGGAGTCTTTTCGCCAGAATCCGAGACCCGTGGGCGGGGGAATTACAACAAAAGAAAGGCGAGTCTCGAAATAAATATATTTTTATATACAACCCGCTCCGAACAGCCTCTTCATGACGGCCTGCCTTAAACGGCGGGCGTGGTAAAAATAAATACGAAAATCTTGTTTTCTCTTTTTTTTTCTGGGGTACTTGCAGCACTTTGTGGCATGGCGGGGCGCTGTGGCATCGTGTAAAACAAAAAGCCCTGACGCGTGTGACATTTGGCGCTGGAGAGTGACTTTTGGTAAAAGGGGGAGCTCCTTAACTCTGATGTTGATGCTGTGTCGGAGGATGCTTCGGTCCGGCCTGAGGAGGCGGGCGTGTCCTCCACTTGTAAGTGGAGATGCGAATCGCATCTGAATCTGCGAGATACACAGCCCGGGTCTCAGACATCTGCGTGTTCTGCTGCTTGGCAGCTGCCTTAATTAGACGCCTTTCTGGGCAATACTTGTCCAAAAGTCTGGCCCCGTATCTCTATAATATTATTTATGAAACTGCTAATTTTAGCACTGCCCTGGCTCGCAGATGAGTGCTGCCTCCGAGATACGTAGGTTCTTCTTATCATGAGCATCTTAACATGCCGGCAACATGTTAAACGATTACCAGAGCAAGCCGTTCGCTGCGCCTTAATTTCGGGGCTCAAGTTGTCAGCGTTTGGGATGCCTGGCGGCGTGACTTTAAGCCTATTAGATACACCACATACCAGATACCGCAGAGAGCTTTGTTCACCTTCTCAGACATGGAGTAATGTGGAATAAGTGGCTTGTAATTAACAGAACTTACATCTCGCTAATAATGTGTCTCCTCCATTCATTCCAGCTGACTATTTTCCTGCCACTCACGAGTTCTCAACTCACACTGTGATACGACCCCAGGTGCAACATGGGCGCACTAAGCGCAGCCTGCTCTCCACCCTGGACGCCACCGTAAGTAGCCAAAAAATAGACCCACTTTAAAAAAGGATATAAAGCTTCCTAGGATATTGACATTCATACCAACAGTCCAAAATTTGAAGCTCGGTGGGCGGGATGGGGGCACAGTCCCCGTTTTGAATGCCAAGCCCGTTTTAATTAGTTTCCACAAAGCAGTTTCCACCCGAAACATGTGCGCAGGACATGGGGTGGTAGGGCGGTATTCCCAGGTAACACCACGGTGAAAAGGACATCACACCTTTGCACATCGACACGCCCGCAATTTGCATGTGAAAATGAAATAAACGGGCATGGCCGCGAGGTCAGGAATGGCTTAATCTCGTTAACTTCCCCCTCTCCTTTCCAGGACGGCCTTCACACGCCGCAAATCACCCTGAGCTACATACACGGGGGCAAGCGGACCATCATCGACCTGCAGAGGAATGATGGCCTGCTCCCGGACAAGCATTTCCTGCGCTACCAGAACTCCACCGGGGCCGCCTCCACTGGCGACCACGTGGTGCGCAATTTCACCAAGACTGAGGTTGATTTGTGCCACTACCAGGTATGTTTAAAGGTCTACTTTAGTTTGCTTTAATAATGATTTTAATTTCCACACCAGGGCCATGTGCGAGGTCAACCCGATTCCATAGTGGCGCTCTCCACCTGCAACGGCGTCTTGGATGGCATCGTCTTCGATGGACGCGAGACGTACTTCATCCACCCCCACGTGGAGAGCACTGGGCGCCTGCAGGACCACCACTACCTGTTGAGGTAAGTTGGGAGGAGACTGGGCTTCCGTTTGGAAACATAGGAGAAGGTCCAATTGGAAGGAATGGATATCTGGTGTTGTATGATATCCATCAAGGTTAAGGCTCCCTCTGCTTATCAAATCCTATCCCTCAGTACTGGAAGCATTGGTTACCCACTACCACTACTTGAAATTTAGATACACAACTCTTGAGTCAGCAAAGGGGCTGCGTAAATGTTTGCCTTTCTGTAGGTTCCAAATATTTGCGGGTTTTGTTGTGGCAGGGGTGTGTTTGCCCAACGCTTGTACCAGAGAATCCCCAACCGTGACCGAACGAACACTGCCTATTCATTATATTTGTGCCGGTTGCCGGTCACTTCCGTTATTAATTTCTTTTGTGGGCCTCGGAAATATCAAATTACCTTCGATTTGTTCTTCCAACAGGCAGGCGGACAGGCTCCCAACGAACGCCACCTGTGGCTACGATGGCCACACCGATAACCACAGTCACGGCGAGGACACGGATGGCAACACACTACCGGAGGACGTTTCACTGCCACCCCTCCACCACCTGGATGGCGGGGAGTTCCAGAACACGCTCCTGAGGAGGCGCCGCAGCACGGACGACAGCAGCCAGCTGATCCGGGGACCCTACAACGCCAACAAGTACTCCAGCTACGTGGAGCTGGTGATCGTGGTGGACAACAAGGTGTACAAGCACTTCCAGGAGAGCGCCAAGAAGGTCCACCAGCACTGCAAGAACCTGGCCAACATCATCAACGCGGTGAGTGCTGAAAAGATAAATCCAAATCCGGAACGAATCCTAAATACTCTCGATTTCAGCTCTACGTGCCCCTTAACATCTTCGTGGCCCTGGTGGGCGTGGTGATCTGGAACGAGTCGAACGAGATCGAGTTCTCCAGCGACGGCGACGTGACCCTCCGAAACTTCCTGAACTACAGGAGCACCAAGCTGGTGGTGGAGCACCCCAACGACAACGCTCAGCTCCTGACCAAGGAGACCTTCGCGGGCGGCGTGGTGGGCAAGGCGCTGAAGGGCCCCATCTGCACCTACGAGTACTCCGGCGGCGTGAGCATGCAGCACAGTCCCAACACGGCGATGGTGGCCACCACAATGGCCCACGAGATGGGGCACAACTTCGGCATGGAGCACGACACGCCCGACTGCCACTGCCCGGACGAGAAGTGCGTGATGGCTGCCTCAAGCACCTCAGTGGTCCCCGTGAGCTGGAGCAGCTGCAGCATCGACCAGCTGACCATAGCCTTCTCCCGGGGAATGAACTACTGCCTCAGGAACAAGCCGGAGCGGCTCTTTGAGTCGCCAACGTGCGGCAACGGATTCGTGGAGCCGGGGGAGCAGTGTGACTGCGGCCTGCCGGAACACTGCCAGAATGCCTGCTGCAACGCCCACACCTGCATGCTGCACTCGAACGCCTCCTGCGCCACCGGCGAGTGCTGCGACCTGGCCACCTGTCGGCCCAAGATGGCCGGCAGTGCCTGTCGCGAGGCGGAGAACGAGTGCGATCTCCCGGAGTACTGCACGGGCGAGTCGGAATACTGTCCCGCCGATGTCTTCCGCCGCGACACGGAGCCCTGCGACGGCGGACAGGCCTACTGCTTCCACGGAAACTGCCGCTCCCACTCCAACCAGTGCCGCATCTTGTGGGGATCCACGGGAGAGAACTCTGAGCACTGCTACGACAAGAACATGGCCGGCGACCGGATGGGCAATTGTGGGTACAACCGCCTCAACAAAACCTTCCTCCGCTGTGAATCGGAGCACGTCAAGTGCGGAATGCTGCACTGCATCCACCTGAACGAGCGTCTGGAGTTCGGCATGGAGTCGGCGGCTGTGCTCTCGCACTCCTACATCAGCCACGATCGCAAGATTGTGGCCTGCCGCACCGCCGTGGTGGACCTGGGCCTGCAAAGCACGGATCCGGGCCTGACGCCCAACGGAGCCAAGTGCGGCGAGGATAAGATGTGTGTGAACCAGAAATGCCTTCCGGTGGCCACCGTGCGCTCCACCGGCATGGGCAAGGCCTGTCCGGACAACTGCAACGGCAACGGAATATGCAACAGTATGGGGCACTGCCACTGCGACGTGGGCTTCGCAGGCGAGTCCTGCGGCAAGGCGGGAGCTGGAGGTTCTCCCGACAGTGGACCTGCCACAGATCCGAATGGTTTGTACTAGTTTACCAAGCTCTTCCATTCCAATTAATGTTGTATTCTTTCCAGGATCCCCGGGCCTGAAGCGCTTCTTGTACGTGCTCTTTTTCCTCGTCCTGCCGGCGGTGGCCTGCTGCTGGCTGCTCTACCGATGCCACAAGAGCGGACTCTTCAACGGAAAGCTGAAGGACAATATGTATGTATCGACGACCTCCTCCATCAGCAGCAGCGCCTCTCAGGGGAGCAGCAGCCCCGACAGCAGCACTATTACTTCCTCACCCCCCGTAAAACGTCCTGCACCCTCTATACCTTCTGCACCCACACTAACACCACCCTCCCTACCGGCATTGGTTATTAACACGGCCCCGGCCACCATCACTAACACTCACACCCTGTCGCGCTACAAGTCCAATCCGGACGCAGTCCACCACGTGCACATACAGCCGCCCCAAGTGCCGAAGAGCCAGAGCTACGAGATGCCGCCGCGCAAGCTCGCCACTGTCCCCGCCCCGAGCTCCTATTCCGATTCTAAGAACAACGACACTGAACCCCCGATCACAGACAACAGCACACTGAGACGGAAGCTGGACATCACGGCTCCGCGGTTGCATGCCACCACAAATCCGCTGGCGCTCACCGAGGGCGCCCAGTTCATACAGAGCGGCCCCGCGAGGTGCGCCCCCACCACAAAATAGCCCTCCGGGCCCAATACCGCTTACACTGCCACAAAATGTTGCAACATGCATGACTGCGCTTCGCCAAAGTTTATCTTACCAAAGTATCTTTGCAGAGCTATAGGGAGTGTGTATCTAATACCTACGGATATACACCATATACAGATACATATATATTATATGAGAGTTAATAGATAGATAGACTTTTGAATAATTTTGATTATAAATTCCAATTTTCATTCCTAAACCCAATCAAAAGTTGTGAACACAATGTTGTGAAATCGGTTTTAAGCAATTAATTAAGCTAATTACTTATTATTTAACTACCTAATTACTATATCTATCGAAAAATGAATATTCCTTTGAATCTCTTGCTGCCAAATCTATACTAATCATTTAGGACTAGTGCTTATTTTATCAAAAGGATCTGCAGGGATATCCTCAAACTTCGGCTCGCCGAATTCAGATTAACTTTTCATTTTAACCCGCCACGCCCCCTCACGCCTTGAAACACATACTAACTACACAGCCTGAATTGTGGTTTGTTTCTAGCTTTAGTTTATCTGATTTTGTGTGTTTTTAAAATAAACCCTTAGTGTTAATTGTTTTGGTGTTGGCTTTATTTTCACTTGAATGTTTCTTGCTTGAATGCTCCTATAAGCTCCTTTCCCATAAGCTATCTTTCGGTGATCCATCACTGGTGTTTGGTTTTGCACGCTTTACGTTTGGTATGTTACACGCAACACTTGAACTTTCGGAATCCTTCCGTGAAACTATTTCTAATCCGCCCTTCTTCGTGTCCTTGCAGCCTAAAGTCCTCGGGAGTGAGCAAGCCTGCCACCGCCAGAAGCAATCAAAACGGCAGTGGCCCTCCGCCTGGCAATGGACTACTGAAGTCGACGCCGAGCAGCACGGACGACATGGACTCCGCCTTACTGAAGTCCCCGACCGAGTCCGCACCTACCACCGCTGGAATGTTTGGAAAGTTCGATGGCTTCACCTTGCGGCCCTTGAACGACGCCACGACGCCTTCAGGAAACTACAGTGGGCCGAACGTGGCCTTTGTGCAGCCCACCGTCCAGCAAGATGCAGGCGCGCCCCAGCGTGCTGCTCCTCCTCCGCCGGCTATCAAGTCACCGCCCAGTCCTAAACCGGAAGCCACTTATGTGCGGCCGGCCCCTGCTCTGCCTCCTCCCAATCCGGGATCCACCGCAAGACCCATTATTTCGCCACCGAAACTAGACTCCAGTACCTTGAGCATGGTACCCCTGAAGGGCAGCACCGACGATGTGTCACCTCGCTCGGGCTCCGTTCCACCTCCGCCAGTGCCCCTTCACTCGGACCCCAAACTGAATATGAAACGCGATGGCACCATTCGCCGGTTGACTTCCTTTTTGAAAAAGGACGAGAAACCTCCTCTGAAGGAGAAGACCTACATTGACCGGGAGCGGCTGAGGACCTTGGAGATATCGGCTCCCATGCCGGTGCCGGCTGCCCCACAGACGGAGTCCTCGAACTCCGACTCGGAGACCACTCCCCGCGAGGAGGAAACCCAAAATCTGGTGAAACGAGCCCAATCAATGAGGTCTCCTACCAAGAAGACCCCCTTGCAGTCCTTCGGTTCTATGCGCTCTCCACCTGGGCTGCCGCGTCCCAAGAGCGGTCAGGTGAATAACTCCAGTGGAACCTCCAGGCCAAAATCGCCTCCTCCCAGGCCTCCACCGGTGGTGGTGAAGAAGACGAACTCGATCACATCAGCCTCGGGTTACCAGCGACCCGTTTCCACGGCCCAGCGGTCAGTGGAGAACACCTACGACGACTGCGAGTTTGTCGAGCGGGAAACCCGCGCCTCCAACGACGACATCTACTCGGTAATTGACGAGATTCCGCCGGCGGCCCAAACCCTGAAAAGAAGCGATCTGGTGGCCAACCGGGTGAGCAATGGCAGTGACATGGGGCTGCTGAATGAGATCGTCAATGAGCTGGAGAAGATCAACGGAGAGTCTGTGTACTCGGGCAAACCAGTGGCGGTGGGAGCCGCAGCCCCATCAGTAGATACTCCCAAGAGTCCCCAACGACCTGCTCCGCCCAAGCCGGCTAGCAGTGTTCTGGAGGAGAAGGCGGCAGCGGCAGCCAGCACATATCATCGGCCTGCGGCTGTAAATGCACCAGTGGCCCGGGTTAAGCCCACACTGGCGGACAAATCTGCGCCGCCTCCCAGCATGTCCAGCTTCAAGCCGCCGGCGGGAACCGGCGTCCAGGCTGTGGCCCCTGTGGCTCTCCACCAGGCCAAGCGGAGCAGCAGTGGTAGCATCACAGGAGGAGGAAACAACTCGGCCTCCCGTCCCAAGTCTTTTGTGAAAAGCACAACCAAAACACTGCCCAATGGAACGGGGGCGACGTCTGCGCCCTCGGCCACTATCCAGAAGCCGAAGCCGCTCTCGGCCAAGCCATCGTTTAGCGGCGGAGCAGCTGGAGGCATTCCGGGAAAGCGGCTTAACGGGGCGGCGGCCCCCACCCCGCCCACCGTAAAGACTACAGCGGCGCCCAAATCCAGCATCGCGTCCCTGGCGCAACGATTCGAGCAGAACAAGTAGACTAAGACCGAGCACTGGGCGGGGCGAGTAGGATAAAGGCATAGCTTGACATGGGTGCAAGGATGCAAGACAGGACGCAGTTCCTTCAGATGTTTTAGGCTTATGTTGAAGATGATTCCGTTGCTTACGTATTTCGTTATGATTAGCTGTTTATAAGAATAGCATGTATGATATACATTTTTCAAAACTCATTTGGATGATACTGTGAAAGGTCCTTGTTTATGGGAACAGAATTCTTTTGAATTTGAGTGTACATATTCTTAGGAATAGTTTTTTGTTTTTAGGTTTAATCTTGAGTTTACGTCTTACAAAATACAGTGTATATTAGTCTTTATTTTTGTAAAATAGTTGAAAGAGATTGAGCTTCACCATAGATGCACATTATTTTTGGAAAAACAGAGCAGCTACTGCCCCAGCCCCGAGTAATACTAAGTTCCCGCCCTATGCGGATTCGACTTTTAAGCTTTAGTTAAGATACAATCAAATATTATTTGACTCTGACTGCAACTAAGCCCGACTCGACTCTGATATTCATTCCCGAACCGATCGACCCACTATTTAGATGTAAGCATTGCTGGACTCATGTGCTAAGTTATGTATCTCAATGGTTAATGTTTAAGCGCCGCTTGTGAAGTTTAGTTTAGCCCTTACTAACTTGTATTTATGTAGCATGTTCGTATGCAGTAAGACATATGCTTTTGTAAATATAAACCAAAGAAGTTCAATTGTCACAACAAAGCGCCGCCTCGAAGAAATCAATTAAAACGATGTACAGCTGGGATATTGAGAGTAAACAAATAAGAAACAAAATATGTAATACATAAAAAGTAAGAATCGGAGGTTTAGTAGCGAAACCAATTTTAACTGTCTCAATGTTGCGAATTACGTTGTATGCTCCTATGTAACGACGATATCAAACGTGTATAGAGCCGAAGTTATGTTATAAAATATATGTTCACCTAAATCGAAAAATTTGTGTTTTATTCAATGATCTTGATCTATATCTTTCCACGATTTCTGGATCGATTCGCCACCGTTCTACATCAAAATCCTGAGAAAAAATATTTTTTAGATTTTTTGTCCATTTGTCGTGATGGGATGGCTAAAAATGGTGTTTTCCCCTATGGGGTCCACAGTGATGGCTATATCTTCACCAATTCTTATCCGATTCTCAAGCGGAGTACGATTTGTAGATCGATTCTCCACCATTCTGCATCAAAATCCTGAGACAAAATATTTTTTAGATTTTTTGTCCATTTGTCGTGATGGGATCCCATAAAAATGGTGTTTTCCCCTATGGGGTCCACAGTGATGGCTATATCTTCACCAATTCTTATCCGATTCTCAAGCGGAGTACCTTAAACGATTTGTAGATTGATTCTCCACCATTCTGCATCAAAATCCTGAGACAAAATATTTTTTAGATTTTTTGTCCATTTTTCGTGATGGGCTTCCTTGAAAATGTGGTTTTCCCCTATAGGGTCCACAGTGATGGCTATATCTTCACCAATTCTTATCCGATTCTCAAGCGGAGTACCTTAAATGATTTGTAAATTGATTCTCCACCATTCTGCATCAAAATCCTGAGACAAAATATTTTTTAGATTTTTTGTCCATTTTTCGTGATGGGATCCCTTGAAAATGGGGTTTTCCCCTATAGGGTCCACAGTGATGGCTATATCTTCACCAATTCTTATCCGATTCTCAAGCGGAGTACCTTAAACGATTTCTGGATCGATTCGCCACCGTTCTACATCAAAATCCTGAGAAAAAATATTTTTTAGATTTTTTGTCCATTTTTCGTAATGGGCTCCCTTGAAAATGGGGTTTTCCCCTATAGGGTCCACAGTGATGGCTATATCTTCACCAATTTTGATCCGATTCTCAAGCGGAGTACCTTAAACGATTTGTAGATCGATTCTCCACCATTCTGCATCAAAATACTGAGACAAAATATTTTGTAGATTTTTTTGTCCATTTTTCGTGATGGTATCCCTTGAAAATGGGGTTTTCCCCTATAGGGTCCACAGTGATGGCTATATCTTCACCAATTCTTATCCGATTCTCAAGCGGAGTGCCTTAAACGATTTCTGGATCGATTCGCCACCGTTCTACATCAAAATCCTGAGAAAAAATATTTTTTAGATTTTTTGTCCATTTTTCGTGATGGGCTCCCTTGAAAATGGGGTTTTCCCCTATAGGGTCCAAAGTGATGGCTATATCTTCACCAATTTTGATCCGATTCTCAAGCGGAGTACCTTAAACGATTTGTAGATCGATTCTCCACCATTCTGCATCAAAATACTGAGACAAAATATTTTGTAGATTTTTTTGTCCATTTTTCGTGATGGTATCCCTTGAAAATGGGGTTTTCCCCTATAGGGTCCACAGTGATGGCTATATCTTCACCAATTCTTATCCGATTCTCAAGCGGAGTGCCTTAAACGATTTCTGGATCGATTCGCCACCGTTCTACATCAAAATCCTGAGAAAAATATTTTTTAGATTTTTTGTCCATTTTTCGTGATGGGCTCCCTTGAAAATGGGGTTTTCCCCTATAGGGTCCAAAGTGATGGCTATATCTTCACCAATTTTGATCCGATTCTCAAGCGGAGTACCTTAAACGATTTGTAGATCGATTCTCCACCATTCTGCATCAAAATACTGAGACAAAATATTTTGTAGATTTTTTTGTCCATTTTTCGTGATGGTATCCCTTGAAAATGGGGTTTTCCCCTATAGGGTCCACAGTGATGGCTATATCTTCACCAATTCTTATCCGATTCTCAAGCGGAGTACCTTAAACGATTTCTGGATCGATTCGCCACCGTTCTACATCAAAATCCTGAGAAAAAATATTTTTTAGATTTTTTGTCCATTTTTCGTAATGGGCTCCCTTGAAAATGGGGTTTTCCCCTATAGGGTCCACAGTGATGGCTATATCTTCACCAATTTTGATCCGATTCTCAAGCGGAGTACCTTAAACGATTTTTAGATCGATTCTTCACCAGTATGCATCAAAATCCTGAGACAAAATATTTTTTTGATTTTTTGTCCATTTTTTGTGATGGGCTCCCTTGAAAATGGGGTTTTCCCCTATAGGGTCCACAGTGATGGCTATATCTTCACCAATTTTGATCCGATTCTCAAGCGGAGTACCTTAAACGATTTTTAGATCGATTCTCTACCATTCTGCATCAAAATCCTGACACAAAATATTTTTTAGATTTTTTGTCCATTTTTTATGATGGGCTCCCTTGAAAATGGGGTTTTCCCCTATAGGGTCCACAGTGATGGCTATATCTTCACCAATTTTGATCCGATTCTCAAGCGGAGTACCTTAAACGATTTTTAGATCGATTCTCTACCATTCTGCATCAAAATCCTGACACAAAATATTTTTTAGATTTTTTGTCCATTTTTCATGATGGGATCCCTGGAAAATGGGGATTTCCCCTATAGGGTCCACAGTGATGGCTATATCTTCATCAATTCTCATCCGATTATCAAGCGGAGTACCTTAAACGATTTGTAGATCGATTCTCCACCATTCTGCATCAAAATCCTGAGACAAAATATTTTTTAGATATTTTGTCCATTTTTTGTGATGGGCTCCCTTGAAAATGGGGTTTTCCCCTATAGGGTCCACAGTGATGGCTATATTTTCACCAATTCTTATCCGATTCTCAAGCGGAGTACCTTAAACGATTTGTATATTGATTCTCCACCATTCTGCATCAAAATCCTGAGACAAAATATTTTTTAGCTATTTTGTCCATTTTTTGTGATGGGATCCCTTAAAAATGGTGTTTCCCCTACAGGGTCCACAGTGATGGCTATATCTTCCCCAATTCTAATCCGATTCTCAAGCGGAGTACCTTAAATGATTTGTAGATCGATTCTCTACCATTCTGCATCAAAATCCTGACACAAAATATTTTTTAGATTTTTTGTCCATTTTTCATGATGGGATCCCTGGAAAATGGGGATTTCCCCTATAGGGTCCACAGTGATGGCTATATCTTCATCAATTCTCATCCGTTTCTCAAGCGGAGTACCTTAAACGATTTTTAGATCCACCATTCTGAGTCAAAATCCCTAGACAAAATCCCCAGACCCAGTTTTACCATAAAAAAATGCGGAACAACGTATATTTTTTAAAATATCTTCATATTATTTATTCATATTTTTTATTAACTTTATTTATAAACCAGAATCCTCAGCGTGTTGGTGAGAACTGGGTGGAAATAGGATAATGTTAGATTTTGACCTTCGTCATTGTCGAAAAGTAATGCTTAAATGTACCTAATTGGATGTACTACGGCCATCGGCTATACAGGTGCCACCGTAGCTAAAGTTCTTGCAGTTCAGACACTGATCTGGACCGGCTCCCCAACAACCATAATCGTTGCACTGATCCGAGCAAACGGTTCCATTTCTCTCTACAAGGAAGATGTAACAATTGATTAGAATTTTGAAAGCGCACATAGTTCTGAGAAATACTTACCACACAGATCAGCTCGGAGGTTCTCGTTGATAAACACCTTCTGGTCCGGCAACACCTGGATAGCCCCCCAACGTATGTTGTTTGCATAGCAGAGATCTCGATTGTCCTGGATGACCACATTGCCGGCGCTAATCCTCTTGAGGTTGCGCAAGTCCAGACTGTAGAGTGATGACTTAACGATGGAAAGGGAGGCGAACGTGCTCTCCATCAGCTGGCGTCCGTGGATGATCTCCAGATTCCGGAAGTACGACAGACTCTTGAATCTCGGGTGCTTGCCTTCAATGTTCAAAAAGCCAGTGATCTCTTTAACGGTCGAGAACAACTCGAGCCGCTCTGGATCCAAAGGAAAGTAGTGGGGACCCATTGTATAGTTCGGATAAACTTCCCGGTAGCCCGAGAATGTCTGATCCAAAATGCGAATGTTTCCATCGATAACCGTACAATTCCGGAAGGAGTCAATGTTTCCGGAGTGAAGGTTAGACACGCCAGGGCATTTTTTGGGGCAGGGGCCGTTGCAGGGCACGCACTCGCCCTCTTTGGACATCTTTTCCTGGGGACAGCTGCGCCCACAGCCACCATTGTCCCTCACCAAATTGATGGGGCACTCCTTGACACAAGTGGCTCCATCGGCTATGCAGGTGCCACTGCAGTTAAAGTTCTTGCAGTTCAGACACTGATCTGGACCGGTTCCACAACAACCATCATCGTTGAACTGATCCAAGAAATCGGTTCCATTTTTCTCTGTAAGGTGGAAGATGTAACAATTGATTAGAATTTTGAAAGGGCACATAGTTCTGAGAAATACTTACCACACAGATCAGCTCGTAGGTTGTCGTTGATAAACACCTTTTGATCCGGCAACACCTGGATCGCCCCCCAACGTATGTTGTTTGCATAGCAGAGATTTGGATTGTGCTGGATGACCACATTGCCGTTGCTAATCCTCTTGAGGTTGCGCAAGTCCAGACTGTGGAGTGATGACTTCACTATGGAAAGGGAGGCGAACATGCTCTCCATCACCTGGCGTCCTTGGATGATTTCCAGATTCCGGAAGTACGACAGACTCTTGAATCTCGGGTGCTTGCCTTCAACGTTCAGCAAGCCAGTGATCTTTTTAACGGTCGAGAACAACTCGAGCCGCTCTGGATCCAAAGGGAAGTAGCGGGGACCCATTGTATAGTTCGGATAAACGTCCTGGTAGCCCGAGAAAGTATGATCCAAAATGCGAATGTTTCCATCGATAACCGTACAATTCCGGAAGGAGTCAATGTTTCCGGAGTGAAGGATAGACACGCCTGGGCATTTTTTGGGGCAGGGGCCGTTGCAGGGCACGCACTCACCCTCTTTGGACATCTTGTCCTGGGGACATCTGCGCACACAGGCACCATTGTCCCTCAGCAAATGGCTGGGGCACTCCTTGACACAAGTGGCTCCAAAGGCGTACTTGCCCTCGGGATTCGCTTCCAGCTTATAGGATGTTGGATTGTACTTGCGCAGGGGCGGGCACTCCTCCTTACAGACGCCATCGTCGTAGAAGTTCTTGCAGGCGATGCAGTCCATCTGCGTAGGCCCGACGCAGCCGCCGGCGCAGAACAGGTGGCAGCACTCCCTGGGACTTGGTCCATAGCAACGACCCTGCGCACACTGGGGCGAGCAAGTGAACTGGCTCAGCTTCTGGCAGTTGACGGGTCCTTCGCCCCAGCAGCCCTTTGAGCAGGACTCGTGGCACTTGGGACACTGTCGCTCCGGGGCCGTGAAGTTGTAGATGTAGGTCATATAGGCATTGCTCGTCAGGATCTCGTTCCACTGAATGGAGCGCATGTGGCAAAGGTTGAAGTTGTTGTGGAAGCCCACCTCGCCGTTGAGAACTTCCCGGAGATTGGGCATCTCTAGAGTGAACATCTTGGAGTAGGAGACGAACAAAGCATACTCCTCTCCGTCCCCGGCCAAACTAAACAAGGTACGACCTCGAATGATTTGCAATCTGGAAATTAGAAAGATCCAGGGTCAGGATATGCCTCAGGTGGCTAGTTAGCGTTGAAACTTACTTTGGGAACTTGACATGCTTAAGGTCCACATGACTGATCAAAATGTAACCGGTCACCTCCCGGATATTCTCCAAGAAGCTCAGGCTCAGATTCTCGTTGGGCAGCCACGTCAGCTCCAGGTTGCCATACACGTAGGTGCAGTTCGTGTAAAGATGCACCAGACTCCTATAGTGGTGCTCCCTATTCGAGGGCCGCGACAGCCGAGACTTGGTTCCAATGCAAACTGCAAAGAGTAAAAAAATGGGAGATCATTAGTACCTTGGGTTGATATGAGCATGTCCGTCTGTCTGTTTCTACGCGAACTATTCTCTAAGTTTTGAATCTATCGTGATGGGTACCTCTACCGCAGTGATCCAACCTACCAAATTTCTTAACGATCAACCGACTAATGTCTTATAGCTTCCATATAACTGAAACTTGGAACTTTTTTTAGATTTTTTCTTGTAATAAATTGGAAAAGGAAATTGGAAATTGGATTGGACAAAGGATAGATCAACTATATCCGATGTTTCCGGTTTTAACAGCAAGGGTATATCAACTTTGCCCGAAGTTAGCTTTCCTTTCTTGTTTTAAATACAATATTTTATATTATACAAATCCCAAGAACCCCAAAATGCTGACTACGCCAACAATAATTCTTTTTAAACCTTTTGAAAACAATATTTAAGTTCCAAATGGGAAATTTTTAGAATTATATTGCGTGTTTTTTTTACATGTATTATAGATTATTTCGCTGAGAATTAAAAGTAAAAGATTAAATGGAAAACTGTACTCTGATAATGAATATAAGTTTTTTTTTGTGGCTGTACTAGAAATAAATATTAAAATTGAATAAAAAGGTGAATAAGTCAACATCGAGTTTACCATAATAATCTTTCAGCCACTATATAGCAATATTATTTCCATATAATTATTTTATATATAATTTTTTTACAGCCAGTTGGCGATTTGAGTTACATAAGCTCGACAGAAACAGCTTACCTTTCATATCGCCATGATCCACATGGCCGGAATTGCTGACCAATGAGAAGGGGACAGCTGCCATGCCGCCGAGGATCAGCCAAAGGGAGACGATGCTCCGCAGTCCTCCACCTGATATCCTCATGATGATGGATTCTTTATTCAAAATTCGGATGATATTCTTTTTTTACTATACTCTATACTTTATAAACTATACGGATCCGTATCCAAATCCGAGTCCGAATCGGATTTGTTTGTTTAATTCAAAGACGATTGTAAGGGTGGTTCTGCGGCAATGGATGGTGGGGTGCGTGGCTCAAGTGTGGCTGTGTGTTGGAAATAAGTGTTCTTTGAGACACGGATAATCACGCAAAAATATATGCAGAATATTTTCACACCATCAGAACCATCAGTGGTTCTGATGTTTCTTCTAAGACCGCGCGTTCGAAAATAACTTACAGATACGACTTGCACATTTTATATTCTACAGATGCATTTTACTCAATACTGCACAAGTGCGAGTGAGAGATCCCACATTCCATCCCTCACTCTTGCAACCATTTTTCGTGATGGGATCCCTTGAAAATGGGGGTTTCCCCTATAGGGTCCACAGTGATGGCTGTATCTTCCCCGAGGGAAGAAGGGTGCATGCAAAGTTTTAAGCCGATTGCCTTAAAACGGAGAGACTATTGGGCCTAGGAATATACAGACAGACGGACAGAAAGACGGACTTGCTTATATCAGCTCAGGAGGTGATCCTGATCAAGAATATATATACTTTAAAGGGTCGCAGATGTCTCCTGCACTGCGTTGCACACTTTTGAACAAAATTATTATTATTATACCCTCTGCAAGGATATCTTTATTTAACTTTGGAGAGCTAGACATAACAGAGAAACAAGTCTTTGAAAAATAGATATCGATTTTATGAACCTTTTATTCAATAATAATTTTATAAAATCATCTTCATTATATATTCAAAATTTCAAAAGTAACAGTCACATGTTGGGGGTACCCCTCAATTTTCTGTCTGGTCACACTAAAAAGTAAGAAGAAGCATGAGCGCCCGAAAGGTAAACATATTTTGAATTTCTTTAGCATTTTTAACAATTTTGAATTTGGGCTCGCGTAGGCAAAATGGGTAAAATGTGCCTTCAGCGAGATGAACCTCACCTCAAGCCCAGCTTCCTCTGACGCCACTCCTGCCAAGAGGACTCGAAGTGCCGGCAGCTTTTCCCAACTTTCAAGAACTCAAACCGAGAATACATTGATTTGCAAAACCGACGATGTTGTGGATCTTACGTCGTTGGAAAAGGATGAGGAGCCTCCGCCGGCCATTAGCGAGAACTGGATGGAGGGCTTTGCTCCCAGTTCGAGCGATGAGCTGGCCGTGCATCCCAAGAAGGTCGGAGAGGTTCGCAGTTGGCTGCTGCACTGCGAAGCAGTACGTAAGAAGTTTCCCGCACAAATGTGCCTGCTGACGGGACCTACAGGGGCGGGAAAAACTGCTACACTACACGTTTTGGCCAAGGAAATGGGTTACCAGATTCAGGAATGGATTAATCCCGTGGACTGCGAGGTAGTCACGGTTTTGGGTGACCAGCCAAGCGGCAGCGGCTATGTGGGTTCCCACTTGGAGGCCTTTAAGAGTTTCTTGCTGAGAGCGTCGCGTTACAAGTCCTTGCTGTTTTCTCAGGAGAAGCGTTTGCTTCTGGTCGAGGACTTTCCCAATATCTTCCTTGGTGAAGGAGAGGCTTCCTTCGAGGAATTGCTGGAGTAAGTAACAACCTTTGTGGAAACCAGTTCGTTAGTTACATCAATCCTTTTTTTAAAGCGATTACTCCTCTTATGGGAAGTCACCGTTAGTATTCATAGTGGCGGATTCAAAGTCCCGAGGGCTAAACATGAGCTTTCGTTTATTTCCGGAGCAACTGAAGGCCAAGCATCGCATTGAGCACATCTCTTTCAATCCCATTGCCTCAACTATCATGCAAAAGTCCATGAAGTCTTTCTGCTCCGTGATGCGAAAACCTATTAATAAGAACATCTACAAGGTGCCGGCGCAAACAGTGCTGGAATCTATTGTGGTGGGCGCCCAGGGTGACATCCGAAACGCGTTGATTAACTTGCATCTCAGCTCCCTAGTGGGAGTGCCGAGTATGCCCACCAAACAGCTTGATGTGAGTGTAGCCGCAACTACCAAGGGTCGGAAAGCGAAAACTCAGAGCACCTTAAAGTCAATTGGCCGGGACGAATCCATCACCCTAATGCACGCCATGGGCCGGGTGATGAATCCCAAGAGTAAGTTCTGGAAAGAATGCATCCTCTATCATAGCTTACCATTAGTTCTTTCAGTTACCGATTCGAAGCGCCTGCAACATAGTCCAGAGGACATAACCGAATCCTTTCGCACCGAGCCGCGAAACTTTGTGAACTTTGTGCACGCGAACTACCTATCCCACTTTAAGGATATTGAAGATATTGTGGACGCCATTAACGACGTGGGCTTGGCGGATTGCATGCTGAACGAATACCGAGACGATAACCTGTCTGTGATGGCGCTTAACCTGGCCATTCGCGGAGTTATGCTGGCCAACCGAGAACCGGTTAGTGGCTGGATACCAGTGCGAGGACCAAAGAAGGTACTTGTGAAGGCCGATGCAAGTTTGGCGGAACAGAAGCTCCTTGGTGTTAGATATGCGGGGATTTCCAAGAGCCTCTATGCGACTGAATACAAATCCATGGTGAAGCTTATTTCTGATAAAATGAAAGATTCTGGCCAAAATAGTGAGCTGTAGATCATTCAATGCTTGTATTTAATTTATGCTTACATTTAAGAATAAACTCTGAATAGAATGTTGATGAATTTGTAATAAAATACCATGTGTCACAATCGAAACGTTTTATTTTCCTACAAATCGGATTCATTTAAAATTCCATTAAAATCGAGGCAACGTCTTTAAAGTTTTAATTTAAAAGTATTCTACAGATCGAATGCCAACAAAATACATTGGGGGGCTCATAATGCTAATGAATATTTTGGACAAAATGCTGATGGTGATGGCTTAAAACTAGACAAGGTTGGATGCCTGGGACATGGTCCCCGGACATCAAAACGTATTCTTCTTTATATACACTTAGGGAGGACCTTTTCCCCTTTATTTTACATCAGCATCGCCCTGCTTTATGCCGTCGCTGGAATTGTCGTCCTCATCCATTTGGTTGTTGTCCAGAAGGCCCTGACGTTCCTCCTCGTTGGCGTGCCCATTTAGGTGGATCGGGGAACGGGATCGGGAGCGAGAGCGGCTCTTATCGTGCCGTTCGGCATGCCCGTTGGCTATGTTCAAGCCTGCCACGCCCATTTCGTGCCCATCGCTGCTTGACGAAGAGGAGTTGCTGGACGTGCTGGACGTAGTGCTGCTGCTGTCACTCTCGCTATCCTCGCTCGAGGAGTCCATCGGCGTTGGCTGAAGCAGCTCCTGTGGCTGCTGCGGTGGTTGCTGCCTGGCTTGCAGTTCTCGGGCGGAGCTGGCTGTGGGCGCCACCGCAGAAGGTGGCGAGGCGGCGGCTGCGGCTGCTGCAGCCGGTCCGGCTGACGTCGGGCACGACCGCAGATAGTGAGAGCGAATCACTGAAAGGAAATAAAATCTAATCATCTGAAAAGTTGGCTCTCAGAAACTCACATTGATTCTCCCTGGTCAGCTGGCGTATCTTGTCTTCCAGGGCTCGTATCTTAGCGCTAAACTCCTTTGAAACGTTCTGAGCCTTGGAGTAGCGGTCCTCGATTGCCAGGCACTCCTGGATCAAGTCCTGCTTGCTCATCGTCTCCAACCGCTCCAGCCGCGCCCTCTCGTAGACATTGGAGAACTCCTTGGAGAGGAAGAGCACCTGGTCCTCCGCCTGGGAGCTGAAGCAATTGTCGTCGGAGTCGTCTTTGGGTAGCTCGGACATATGCTCCTCCATCAAGAAACGATTAGTATTGTAGGGCACGAGCAGCGATCTGGAGCGGACCAGCTTGGTTCGACTAGAACTCAGCCGGGGATTCCCCTCCACATGGCCGCCCCCTGCACCCTTGGCTGGCATGTCCAGCTTCCACTGCGGGTACTGATTCTTGGTCTTCTTGGGCAGCATTTTGGATTTTTTGCCGCGACGGTGCTTCCGCTTGGGGATTCCTCCGCCCCCTCCGCCGCTGCCGGCTCCACTTCCTCCTCCGCCTCCACCATCTAGAGGCCTTTGCTGACTGGTGTTATCTGAGACGGGAAAAAATATATAAAATCGTCACTTTTAATATCGTTTGTCCAAGTGCTGGGTTGCATCCCCTAACTGGGCTCCAATCAGAAACTATCTATGGAAGCTAAGCACCATTCTAATAAGGCAGTTGCCTTTGGGTTTCCTTTTTCTCCTCGATTTATTACCTGTTTTCACCGCTTCTGCCATGATTCTGTCCCCAAGTTCAGGTGCGTCGTCCTCCGAGTTCACTTCAATTGGTAGTTGATAGTTTGTGGTTTTCAATATATCGAGCTTGTGAAAATTCAGATTCTTCAAAACATAAACGGGACTCCAAACAATCCGAAACTCAACACACGTCCGCACAGTGGCAATTATTTTTCCTTTTGTTTTGCGTTTTTTTTTTACTTGGGCCCACTGTATTTGATTACTGTGGGATTTTTATATCAGCTTAGTGTGCCCAGAGGTGGAAAAGAGGGAAATAAGTGTGGTGAGTTCCTCCGAAAGTGCACCCTAATGGCGCGTAATTCAAATTGGCTGACTATCGATATATAACTTATATTCATATTATATTTATATTTTCCTTCCACTTATTAACATTTGCACAAGTTTTTGGCACGAAATTTGTTTATTAAAAGTATTTAGGAATTGATGCAAGAACAGTCCTTCTTCAGGCCCTCAAATTATCATGTATCCAGTCGATGTAGGAGGCTACCCGGGTGTAGACATCCGGCCAACCGGTCGTCGGGCATGGTACGGGTCCAAAGGACACAAGACCTCCCAACAGGTAGCCATCATTTTTATAGAGCATAAGGGGTCCCCCGGCATTGCCGTGGCACTCCTTCGCATTGGCCACCCCGCAGAGTTGGGAGGCCTGAATGTTCAAGTTTTGGACGGAGTACTTCTGCTGGCACTCCTCAATCGAGGAAATGGTTACGGTGCTCTTTTGCATCCGCGAACTGCTCCTCGCCTGCCATCCAGCGAGCTCGGTGACCAGACCCTCCAGCTCGTCGGCTCGGAGCTGCTTGTTGGGCAGGCAGATCGGTTCCACGAAATCATTGAGCTCCGCGGGACTAGCCAATCGGATCAGGGCAATATCGAATACCTGACTCAGGTTTTTTAGGCTGTAGAGAGGGTGTGGAACCAGCTGTTCCACCGAAATGTCCTGGTATGGTGGTGCGCATTCCGCCTGCTTTGTGTCCTCGTGGTACTGACAGTCGGGATTGGTGCTTGTGTCCCATTCGCCCAGACGAACGGCTGTTATGCGCAGATCCAGACCAGGAGCCTGGGTCAAACAGTGGGCAGCCGTCAGGATGTACCGTTCGTTGATCAAGACTCCTCCACAGGCATGGAGCTTCTCTTGGTTAGCTGGGATATTAGAAAGGTCAGATGGGATTCGTTGAGGTACTGTAAGACCCACCTCTTGTGTACTCTATCAAGGCCAGCCATGGAAACTCTCGGATGTTTGTTACCGTGCCATTTGATCGTTGCCACCGAACCCTGCCACATTTTTGGGGCAGCAATGGATGAGTTAATGCGCCCAAACCTTCGGTGCTGGGGCAACAAATCTGAAACAGTATGTAAAATTAATAACTTTACGTATAATTATAAAATTTCGTGGTTATCTTGTTTCCCAACGGAAGCGGACTTCCCCTGTGGGAAGCAGTGAATCCCGCAGCGAAATACCTGAACACCGTCCTCATTTGTTCCGCAGTGATTTTCTCGCAGAAGATTTCGATCGCTCTGGGATAGATTGCCCGAGGACAGGATACTCATGAAGTAGTCACATTTCTTTATTGAAATGCAGTGTCCTGTGACCCTGCTGTTCTGAATTTTGGACACGCATCTAAGCGTGGAACCTGGAAGATCTGAGATCAGAGATAGGTGGTTGGGAGATCTTGCCGAGTTCAGTTTAAAGCCGGACTTGTTTATGATTCCGTACACTCACCACTCGCAAGGCCAACAACAGCAACCGCTGCGACAAGTAGAATTGGAAAACTTCCCATGCCGGACCGGATCGATCTGATATACAGCTAGAGCTTTCGGACGATTTGGGTAGCGAACAGCTGAACGGCCAAGTGAGACTAATTTCGAGCAGGGGTCTCAGATTGTGGATTACCGGAGAGTAGAGTCGTGTTTATACTCTGGTGCGAGTGAAGCCGGGTCCAGATAACGTAATCGTAGTTGTGCAATCGGGGGCTCTTTATACTCTTCCAGAGTGTATAATCATTTTTCCAAGTTAATGAAGTGAAAAATGCACCAACACATCATATTCATTATACCGACCCAAATTATGTGAACTATTCGATTTACATTTTAAAATATAATCACTTAAGGAAAAAAGTTTTCTCCAGGAAATCTTTACGGGCGCCATACATTCAGAATTTTGAAAAAGTATAGCGCCCTTTAAAAACGCTTTTAATTTTAAATTTGCATGGAATATATTTCGAGTGTACAAGTGTAAAGAGTCAAGTGTACATTTCAATATATTTAAAAAATTGTTTCTTTTTCAAAACATCGATTTCTTATCGATTTTTTTGGTTAAAAACATCGTTTTTTGTCCACCTCTACAAAGAAATTGGCTAAAACAAAAAATACCAGACAAGTGCCCGTTTCCCAAAGCCCCAAAAATACCAAAGACCTCCCTCTCTCTCATGAACACACACCCAAGAAAAATTGTGTGTGTGTTGGTGTACCATCGAGTTGCGTGTCGCCCGATTGCAAAGCTATTTAACAAATTTATTCGAAAAACGCATTTAAAGCAACGCCCCCTTAACGGAAAGACCTGAACGGGCTGCAATAAACATCCACCCAAAGCAATGGAGTGTTCTTGAGCTCTCAAAGAACAGTTTATGTGGTAAAATTTGCATTTGAAAGTGGACATCGAGAAGAAAATTTTGCAGCAGAAAATTCCCAGGTCTGTGTATCGAACATGTGCATGTGTGCGTGTTGAGCGAGAGAGGAAGCTCAGAGTTGTCGACGTTTCTGCTGAATTGGGATTAAAACCATTCTTCCAGAGTAAATCAAATCGAATTTTAGCCACTTTGGGATCAAAAATCTTATTTAATTGCCTGCTAAATAAGTGCATGCGTTCGGTCTCGAATCGGTGTTGTGTTCATCTCTCTCTTTGATTGTGGGGAAGCCGACAACCCTGGCGCACGAAGGGTGTCTCAAACAACAAAAAAGCTGCGGCGCCACTTTGACGTGCGACTCCCATCAGACGGTTGGTCTTGGCTCTCGCGGCTGTATTCGGTTTTCTGTGTGCCTGTGTGAGTGAGCCCCAACTGTGGGTGTGTGTTTGTGTGAGTGTGGTTGTGTGTACTGCCCGTGACGCATTCTTGTTTTGCATCAAAGCCCCAAAGCAGAAACGGAAAAGAAAAAACGAAAAAAGCTTGTCAAGCCGAAAACAAAAGCAGTACTGATACTGCAGAAATTGGTGCTCCAAAGTAAAAGCAGTTAATTCAAAGCCCTCGACGGTGCAAGTGCAACTCTATGCGCAAGTGTAGTGTCTGTGTGTGTGTCTGTTTGGGAGGGGGGCCTGTGGGGAAAGAAAGCGAAGGAGCGCAAAAGCAAAGAGAAAAAAGGGCGAGGGCGGCGCACCGTCACCGCCTTAAAAAAAAAAAAAAAGTATACGAAACAGGAAGGAGAGAAATCATAAAAACGCCGGCAACAGCGGTTCTCGAGTCCCCTCCACCCACAATCCGCCCAATGTCTCACATGCGAAGCAAAACGCAAAAAGAAATTCAAAACGCGCTCCCCATCAAAGTTCATTTACACGGAATTCGTAATTTGTTTTTAGTTTTTTGGATTTGTTTATTGGCACATCGGTGAACGTGTCTATGTGTGTGTGTGTGTGTGTGCGGGCTGGCGACAGATGTGTGGGAGCTGGAGCTCTATTACCTTGCCATCCCCCTACCCCCCTCTTAATCACCGTGACGATCGCGTGCATGTGTGTGTTGGTGTTTGTATTGCCAAAAAATCTTCCAGTGTGGAAACAAGTCCGTGAGAAACCAAGACAATCGTTAGCTTGGCTTTAACGGAACAGATGTGTGTGTGTTGTGGCAACAACAACAGCTGCCCGTCACTAAAAAAAAAGTCATCTACTCGAAGTTACAATTTAAACAAAATGTCAAAATGCAGTGATAGTAAACCTTGGTTCATTTTGTGGAGTCATTGCTACTTTAATGGATTTCCAGACAAGAGAACAGGAAACTATTTGTGTATTCCGAGCCGTTCTCCCACGGATCATGCATTCCAATTATCGGATCACAACGGATTAGGTGTCGTGGCCGGAACCCCTTGATGATAAGAAAGGGGTCCACTGTAGGATTGGGGGTCTCTACTGCTAAACACAAGAAACAGCATTAACGGCTCAAAAGTGGCCAAGTGGAGCTGCAGATGGAGTTTCGAGTTCGTTTGGCTCCGTTGGCTGAACCGCATGTCTGGGCTCTTACCTCGCCATCTCTCCACAATTTCCATCTTAATCTCCAGCTGCCGTTGTGCCCCTTTTTCTCTGCCTCCGTGTCGTCATTATATTATATTGTTTTTCTTCTTTTTTTGCTTTGCAAAATTTAGCCTTCAGTTTCCGGTTATGAAGGAAGCGGCAAACGGGTTTTGCTTGGTCTCTTAGCCGCCCCTCCTGCCCCCTGCCTCCAGCCGCCTGCCTCCGGGGCTGCAATGTGCATTTAAATGCAATCCAAGTGGTGCGTCAATGCCGATGCAACTGAAACATATCAAACTAAAGGCCTTTAAAGCCAAAACAAAACTACCCATCTTATCAGTAGCATAATACTGCGTATTTCAAAATCCCTTCTTGATAAAGATACTGCTGTGATTATACTAAAAATACACATGACGAGTATGGGAGTATCGTGCTGATAAATCGAAAGCCCCTTGAGGTGCGAAAGCGGTGTGTTTATTGCCATCTTTCGTGTGAAAAAATTAAAACAGGTATTATATCACGGAAACCCCGAACTTATGGCCAGATTCTGGGATGTCTGGTTTTTGGAATTTAACAAAACAATCAGAAATTGATTGTTCAAATCGTAGAAGTCTAGAGAGTACTCAGAGTAGTGTTTCTCAGGGGATTGTTGGCAAAGTCATAGCTCTAGACCAGTAAGCGTAACGCTGCAAACGATTTGCTCTCGTAATTAACCTCTCAACCGGCTGACGGCCTGCCTGCCTACCTGAGTGGTAGAGATACCTGGCCGGCCCACCGGGCGAAACCAGCAGACCTTTGCGAGCCAACAACCTTCGTGTTTTGTTCCACGACATGCGTTTTCCTCAGAGGTATCTCAACAGAGCTATAGCTTCAGGTATTCTATGATTTCTGGATAGTTTATCTCGAGTTGGTAATGCGATTATGTTGCAATATAACACCATTTTACTATTTATATCGTCCGGTTTGTAGTCCAAACTCTGGCCAGAGCTGAAGTAACTATCTAGAGATCAGTGATCTTAACATCCAGCGGCGTTTGTAAGGCTTCTAACCAGCTTGTTGATTTGGCTTTTTGTTCAGGTTCGATGGCTTGTCTTGTAGCTCCGACTTCTTTTGTTTCTTGGTTTTTCTTGTTTGGTCGTTTGGTCGTTGCCTGGTCGTGGTTCTTATCATTTGAGCGTGTTTCCAAGTTGGACCCAAAAAACGGGTTAACATTTAAGACCTAAAATGGCCAAAAGCAACGAGCTGGCTCTGCTGTGGAGCAGGAGGAGTGGGGGGCCAGACGATCGCTCGAAAGAACCACAAGAGCTGGTGGGGCACCAGCCCCAGACCGATGCTCCAACAACAAAGGCAAACAATAACAAATTCCCAGCATCGTCATTATTTGCAATTATCGACAGTTCGCTTTGTGCGGTTTCCTTCATCTCGTTCTCTCTTTTGTTTGTACGCTAAAATCTTGGACTTCGTCTCGTCTGCGGGCTTAGGATCAAAAACCTCTGCCTTCTCTGTTGATTTACTGATTTACTCGAACTTCCATGAGTCTCGTGTCTTAACCTTAGGATCTTCTGCCCAATGTCTGCCCAGCAACGGAGGAATGTGTGCGGAAAAGCATGAAAATCATAAACAAAACTGTCACGTACAGGGCGGGGGGGCGTGGATGTGGGAGCAGGTGATGCCCAGATGGAGGGTTTGGATAGTTTTCAGATACTCCAAGTCAAGGCTATTTTTAATACACGTACTAATAATAAAACCAGGAGTGTTTTGGCCACCTCTGTTTGGGGTGGGGGCCAAAGTCATTTCCTCCGTTCTCGGAAAATGTAAAGAAAGCATAAACAAACAAAGGAGCACACTCTCGGATAACTCGTTCCCGGGTAGTATTGTAATCACGACCGAGAATCAATATGTGCGAAACTAATCATAAGCTGTTCGTACTGGGGAGCCACGAAACCAGGGAGCGGAAGTGTCTTTTCTTCGCACCAGAACAGTGTTTTCCCCCCAACTTTTCCTTGGCGGGCAGTGAGTGGTGGGCTTATCTTCTGGCAGTACTGCTGCTCCCTCTCTCCATATGCTTTTCTCTGCCCCAATAATTGCTAAGTTCAATAATAATATTCCAACGCAGTTGTGGGGTATTCTGATTTGCTTGGTATGCAAATTTTGAGACTGACCACGGTAGAGGGAAAGTGACTAATACTCTTCATAATACTTAGTTACTTAGTAGTTTGATTTATTTTAATAAAACCTACTAGAAGTAGAAAGAATCAAAAATTAATTAGCCAAGAGGTGGTACTATTCATGCGGCCACCACTGTCGCCTGGCGATGGGGTGTCTGGTTTATTATTTTTAATTATTGCGATTTTGCTGCGCTATCAGCATTTGTTATTAACGGCCGCGGGGCCAAGCGGCACGAAAGAGAGAAGAAAGGAACGAAGATGGGGAGCAGCAAATGGCCGAAAGAGAAATGGCGGGGAAAGGAGCATGTCGGAGGAGGAGCTCTGCATGGCGGAGCAGAAAGAAAGCAACGAACTAACGAACGATTCACTTGAACTGGTTTCGGCGAGCAGATTTATTTATTTTGATTGTAGTTTGTTTTTATTATCGCATTCGTTTGCACGGCTCTGGGGTTTGGGAGACGGTATCTGTGTGTGCGACTGGGGGGCGGTGTGGCTGTGTGCTTGTGTGTCCAGATGTGGAAGCGAGTGCGCGAATGCAATTTGGCTGAGAGCACGTGACAACGCCCATTTATGACGTCTTCCTTCTGAACTTTAACTTATTGATTTTTTTTCACCCAAACTGCCATTGCAGATCAAGTAGAGAGAGAGAGTCGAGCGCAGAGGACACACACCCAACCAAACCATAACCAAAACCAGTAACCGAACAGCAGCCACAGCACAGCCAGAAGAAGCCGGACGAGCAGAAGCAACGTGAAAGAACAGCAGCGGCTCCACATTGGACATGTCATGTCAGCAAGTGTACAGACTCCACTCAGCAGCCACCGCAACAGCCACGATACCTAGGAATCCCGCCAACAGAAACCGGAGCCTTACCGCAGCAGCAGCATCGTCAGCAGCCGCAATCAGTGTCACAGCAAAGGCAGGAACAGCAGCAACGCTGACGCCAGTGGAGAGCATAGCCAGCAAGACGACGTCCGAGGACGCGGATCCTTATGCCTTCACAGAGGCCGTGGCAGTTGCACCTCCCATTTTATTCAATGCACAGGTAGGAGGGCCTTCGGTCTAGTTCGGTCTATCTGTTATTTATGATTCATTTTTCTTTAGAAATCTCGAGCCCGCCTAAGCGACAGCACCAGCAACAGGAGTTGCAGCAGTAACAAGAGGCAAATACCAGCAGGTGGTGCCACAGGCGGCCGGAAGGTGAGCCTGGTGGCCCAACGCAATGCCGCAGTAGCAGCAGTCGCGCAGGCAGCATCCGCAAAGGCGCAGGCGTCTTTAGCAACCCCAGCAAGCACAGCAGCAACAACAACGAATTTCCATTATGCCACGCAATCTCAGAGACAACCAGTCCTTCCGCCTGTGCATTTGCAGTTGCACCTGCCGCAGCAAACGCCGCAGTTGCAATCGCAGTCGCAGGCGTCCCCGAAACGGGCCAACGTGTGCATAGTCCGCCCGCAGCAGCAGCAGCAAGAGAAGTCCGAGCCTTCTGAGCCCTGCCAGCAGCTGGCTGGCCCACCACCGCCGCTGTACTCCCACACACCGTCGCTCTGGCAGACGCCGCTGCTGCTGGAAAACGGCCAGAAGCAGCAACCGGTGCAGCTCATCCACCCGCAACAACAACATCTCGCGCAGCAGCAGCAGCAGCAGCAGCAGACTGTTGCCATTGCGCTGGTCAGCCCGCCCACATCGCCCGCCTCACTACCCTCGCCAACTCTGCCGCCAGCCAACGGAGCAGTGACCGCCATGGTGGCTCCGATTTCGGTGTCGCCCAAGGGCAGCGGTCTACCGTTGCCGCCCTCGAAATTCCACCACACCACTCTGGCGCAGCACTTGCAGAAGGTGGAGTGCCTGAAGAAGAAGAAGTCCCTGCCGTTGGTATGCCAAATAAACAACAACAACAACGTAAAGATCCAGAACAACAACAGCATTGGAGAGTCGCTTAACAAGCCGGTCACCTACAACTGCACCCAGCCGCCCCCTCTGACGGTTTTCAAAGCGTCTGCCCCACCGCAGATGGCTGTCCCATCACAGAAACATTCCGCCGGCAAGAGTATGGAGGAGAGCGATCTCAGTGACATACCCGTCAATGTTATATTCAGGAAGCCGAAAGTGGCAGCAGGACCGGATGCTGCCACAGAAGTGTCCGTGGGGGGAGTCAAGTTGGTTACCCCGTTGACGCCGCCGACACCGCCGGAGATCAAAACTCCACCGCCCCTGCTGGCTCAACTGCATCCTCAGATACCGCCGCTAGCTGGTGCTCCCGGCCCCCTGCAAAAAACATCAGTACCACTACCCACACCACCCACAACACCCACACCAGCCATAGCCAGCCAGCCCACTTCAGCCAAGAAAACTGAACAAATGTCTTCCAAAGTCGCCAACAAGAGAGGCAACTCAAATACCAACAACACCCGAAACCACTTAGCCGCCAAGAAGGTGATGCCGCCGCCCCAGGAACCGGTGGCATCTCCGAAAACCAAGACGGAGGAGCCGACGACTCGGCAACGACGCTCCGATTCGGGTGCAAAGCTCGGGTCCGTGGAATGGAACGAAAACCAGAACTTCTCGACGGACTCGCCCTACTGCCTGCAGCAGTACTGGATGCACTCTCCCGGTCTTAACTACTCCAAAGATGAGTCCGCGTCCACGCCGCTCTCGCCAAGTAACAAGCGGGAGGAGAGGATTGCCGTAAAGAAGGGTTTACTGCGACGGCAGGCTCTGCAACTGCTTTCCACCCGTTCGTTGCAGGAGGTGCCACTGCGGGCCGCAAAGCAGCGGCTGAAGAGTGTCCAGAATCTGCTGGTTAAGTACCAGGACCATGCCGGCCAACAGCAGGGAATGTAAGTACCAATGGAGCTTCCAACCTGAATCTTGTCCTAATTTTGTATCCTATTTTAGTGGCATTGGGAACCGGTGTCTAGTGGCCAACTGCAAGCTTCCCACTTTGAGCATGGCAGCGCACTGCGAGCGGCACATCGTCAACAACGACACCCAGCAGCTGTTCCAGCCGTGTGTGGCCTGGAGAGTGGATGGAACTGCTTGTCAGGCTCCTGTCTTCGATGTCCTGCACACGCTGGCCTTGTGCAAGGAGCATAGCCACCTGCGGACGGGCCTGGACGCAGCCCGACCAGCTCCGAGACAAAACTTACCCCACGCTGGAGTTGGTGTGGCCGGTAGTGTTGCTGGAAGTGCCGGCGCTACGCAGCGCAAGCGCAAGGCCAACTCGAGTCCCGTGACACGTCCCCAGAAACGTGGAAGAAAACCCCTGGCGGAGCAGTGCGTGCCGAAACCCCAGCCTCCCACTCCGCAGGCAACCACTCTGCCTCTGGTTCCATCCTCGGGAATGCAGCGCAAGAGCAGCACCACCTCGCTGGAGTCTATTGCCAGCAACTCGCACTCCTCGCACTCCACAGTGGCATCGGTTCAGAACATGCCACAGCTTTCCATACCGCCGGCCCTGGTTCCACTCAGCGGCGATTTCCAAGCCAAGCAACAGCACCAGCAGCCGCAACAGCAAGAACAGCAGGTGGTGCCCAAGCTGGAGATCTTCGATCCGATGTTCAAGTTTGTAGACCAAACCCAACTGAGCTCGGGATCGGGAGTACCCTTGGATAGCAGCCTCAACCTGCTGGCAAATGCCAACATAAAGGCCGAAGAGATTAGCCAGATTGTGGCCCAGCTGGCGGCAGCTGGTGGCGATTTGCACCATCATAACAACAATAACAACAACAATATTAGCAACCACAACAACAATAGTGTGCATTTCAACAACAACAACAACATGAACTTCGCCAACAACAACAATAACAGTCACCAGCAACACAGTTTCCCGTCATTCAGCACGGCCTTTGGAAGTGCCATGGGCCAGCCGATTGTGGCGCAAAACGGGCATGCACCTGCCAGCCTGGCCAACACGGCGGATATTTTGGGGCGGGAAATGCTAAGTATTTGCGAGAATAGCTCGGCGTACGCCAGCTCAGAGGACACTGGACTGGGAGGGCTGAGCGAGTCCGAGCTGATTGGCGCCAACGATGCTGGTGAGTCTGCTAAGCTTTTGGATTTTGATTAAAGCGAAACTAACCTTGGCCGTAATCTTTTCCAGATGACATAGCATTGGTGGCGAATGGCGCCCACTTGCTGGAGGAGCATGATCTGGTAAATGTGTTCGACACGCTGCCGGACGATGCTTTCAACGAGTTGTTCGAATCTGGTGTGTATATAACCGCAATTTTAATTGTTCAGCTTTTCATTGTACTAATCCATGTGTGCCTCCGCTGCTGTCGCCTTCGCCTTCGCCATCGCCTGGAATCGATGATGCTGCTGCAGTGCAACAAGCCGAGTGCGAAGCTATGGACCGGGCGCTCGAGATTGCCGACAAGAACCTCAAGTGTCTGCAGCAGACGATTGGTGGCTCGGCAGATAGCGCCTTCCTCAATGATTTCCTCGACGTGGGCGATGATCTGTTGGCGGATGCCGTGATGCATTCGCCGAATACCTCCGGTATCGATGCATCCACGTTGTTCGTGGACAGCAGCAGCGGCGGCGGCAACAGCAGCAGCAACGGTGGCTCCGATATTTCGCGATTGGTGCAGACTTAGATTAGAGCAACACCCGCCGCCAATAAACTAAACTTACCTTTGAGCACTTCTGGGCAGCTTCCCTTTGGCAACATTTTCGGCCCATTTTCACTTTTCCATAGGCTTTTCCATAATATGAAAGCATACGCTAGGAAATATATACATTCAAATATATAAATATATATATTTATTCGTTAATGTATAAAACATAAAAAAAGCTAAAAAAATAGCACTGACTTCAAAAAAAGAAAAAAACAGAAATGTCCAAAAAAAGGTTTAGTTGAACTTAACTTAAACACAAGAACATAGAACTAGCATTATAAATTAAAACGTAAACGTAACATAACTTGTTAGTGAGCCAAGAACGGATTGTAGCGAGCAGCTTTATTAAATACTTAAAACAATCAACAAACTGAATTAAAAACAGCAGCAGCATCAGCAGCAGAAAAATAGAAACCGTAGATAGATCTTTGATTTGAATTAACATCCAAATAAGCCCCGACTTCTACTGAGAATCCTCCTAATCCAGCAGCAGGATAAGCAGCGTCTGAGTTACAGTTTGGTTTAATTTTTGGCTTGCACATACACACTGAGACACCTTACACACCTTCCACACCCACACCCACACTCACACCCACACACACATACAATGTACAAGGGTCTAGTTTGAAACCGCGAATCGTATTACTAAATATACAACTATATACTTATATATATATATATGAAATATATCACATCTAAGTATAAGCTTTAATTTAAACGAACCCACAAACACCCAAAACAAAGTAAAATCAACAAACAAACAAAAAAATCTTAATTTTTTAAGCTTTTTATTAGGCCACTGCGCTAATGGCCGCCAAACTCTGATTTCAGTTTTTGTTAAGCCTAACAAATTTTAAAAGCAAGCTTAGGCTGACCGAGAGAATTTTAATGCTATTTTATTACCTTGCGTTACGTCTTCTAAATTTTGTAAAAATAACATAATATACATATAAAATAGATCTTAATAAGATGTAATTTTCTTTAGACTGTAGACGAGATAAGCATATATAGATCGAGATATATATATATATACACAACACAAAACATGCAAGAAAACTGTTACGCTTTAAATACGATTATATATACCCACTCACTTAGCCCGTTCCCAAATCGCGCCCAAAACCAAACAAACCAAGCCATTCCATTCCATCCTCTCATTCATAAGTTCGATCAAAGTCCATTGTAAGTTTTCTCATTTCTCATCTGTCGTCAAGTATTAAACGGAATGAACCGATCGATGGTTTAAGGACCTCGTTTAACAAAAAACTATGTATTGTAAATCGTCTTCGATTTTTGTGTTGAAGCCACCCACCACCTCCCCTATCGCACATCGCACCGGCATCTCTCATTGGGGCTTTCGTTTGGGAAAGTCAACGGAAGGAAAGCGACTCCACACATAATAACGGAACTCTGTAATATATGATATACTACTACTACTAACTCCCCCCTACAGTCTCACTCTCTATCTCTAAAAAAAAAAAAAAGGAAACCCTTCTAGAATATAATGTATTCGATCGAGTTAGTTTGGTTACCGATTACGACTTGATTACGTCTAAGTTCTCTGGCCTGCCACTGGCCCACTCAGATCTACTCGCGAACAAAATTGTGTTTTTTTGAAACTAAATGTATTCGACTTATGCTTTAAACATTTGAAACCCTATTTTTTATACAACACTTTACTTTTTAAGAAACCGCAGAGATGAAACCACTGAGCCCACGTATCCCTCCAGTAGCAGCAGCCTCGTTTCCATTCGATTTTTTTTTTTTTCGTTTTGTTTTCGCGGTATGAGGTACGATTTCATTTTGTAATTTACGTGCATTTTTGTGATCTAATTTGTGTAACTACTTTAAACGAAAAAACAAAAAAAAAAAAACAACAAAATATTTTAAGAAATGAAAACAAAAAAACAATAAAAACAAAACAAAGCAAGAAACTGAATTGTATTGATTTTATGGCAACTGAATATTTTACCCTGAAAAAAATATAATGGAATATTTTTAGTAAAAAAAAAATTATCATTATCATTCCTTGAACGGGCATCTTGGATGTGGACGAACCTGGTTGTTCGAACTTGGCAGGCGCCGACTGGACGTTCCAAGCCCCACAGCCATTTCACAATATAATTTTTCGTAGGAATCAGTTCGTTTGCACTGTCACACCCCAAACAACTCCCGAAAATACAAAAACAGCAGCACTGCCGATCAAGAAACCGCAACCAGGAAAGCCACAACCTTCCAGGTTTCGTTCCAGTGCTTTTTTGTCGGCCACATCGGTCGCAGTTCAAATTCAAAGGTTATCTTGAAATTGTTTTTATTTCTTGTTGACCTGTTGGCCACTGTTTAACGATTATTGGGATCGGGAGTCGCCTGTCCAGCGGAGATCACCTGGTCTCCACGGTGAGAGGTAAGTGTGCAGTGCAGTCTTAGTGGTGAGTTGGAGCAAGACGAACATATTCCGTTTCCGGTTGTCATCGTAGTAGGTTCTAAGGAGGCGTGTCAGTATATTGCCTTCAGTTGTGTCATGCTTACAAATGTCTATCAGAGCAGCCGCATCCCCGAGTAGTCATCTTTTTTTACGTTTGTAAGCTGCCGCCAGTTTTGAGAGCGGCGCCGGGGCATCCCCACCGTGGTGAGTTGCATCCTGTCCTCGTCGTCCATTATCACGGTCCACCTTCTCTCCCCCAGTTGAGCTGCCTGAGTATATTTTTTACATTATCATTCCTGAAACACGAAAGCCTGCCCAGTATTTTCTAGCCAAGGATCTGAAGCGTGCCAGGTGAGTGGTTCATTATATCATCTCCTCCTCGGGTATTCGAATCCTCCGCATACGATGTGGAGTTCCGCGGTTTAATGGAGGTTCATAAATAGAAGCTTCCATTTAGATGGTAATTTTATTAAACGCTAAAATTCTACCTCATACACTATCATATATTTACACTGCGGTTTAGAATAAAGACCTAGCCTGAGCTTAGACTAACATTAGGAGGTACAATAAATAGAATAGACTGTTCGGTGCTATAACTCTGTAGTTTCCAGTTTCCTGGCTAGAATCTGAGCGTTATTTGTCAGCTTGTCGATTTGGTTATAGAGATTAAAGGTCCGGTTTAAGTCGTTGCCGTTGCCGAAGAGCTTGGCAGTTCCTTTCAGGGTTTCCTGCATGTCCTGTGTGGCGACCGCCAGAAAGTTATCGTCTAGAGAGTCCTGCCCTCCAATGCTGGAGTTTAAAAGAACTGGTTAGGCTTTATGAATATTATGTATTTTTAATAACTTACCTGCCGCTCTCCTCCGTTTTAAACCACTCGTTCTCGTAGCCCTTGAGCCAAATGGGATTTGATCCTTGGACGCTGTGCTTGTTGGTATTTGGTACGCGGGTGGCTGGCTCTTGGGTGTGGTGCAAGGACAGCGATGAGTGTCCTCCTGAAGAGTTTCAGAAGGATTAAAAAATGATTCTTGGTTTTAAGACTCACTATTTCTTACGGAATATGTTCACTTTGGCGGCCCTCAGCTGCCTGCGGTAGCCGTTTCGTTGGGAGGCGCACAGAGCCAGAGTGACCACCAAGAGAGTGGCCAGAAACATGTTGGTGAAGACCAGCCATACGAATAGTGGGCCGCGCACAGGACCCGCAGTAAGAAGCTGCGCCTCCGCTGGCTGCGTGTCCAGCACGTTGAGGTCCTTGAACAGCCCGTCCAGGCTCTCGATGTGCGAGTCTATCAGCTTCAGCACCTCGGAGACCTCGTAGATGGAGTTGTCCTCGCGCTCGACAAGGTGCATGTACAGGTCCGTCTTCGTCTTGTCCACCGATCCGTCTTTGTTCTCGTGCACCTTGATCTCGTCAATGTTGACAATGGACTCGGTAATGTTTCCCAATGTGCTATAACAGAAGTTAAGTCGGTTAGGGTTGAGGTCGAAAAACGTGTCTTGATTCACTTACTCTCTGAAGGTATCAACCCGGGATCGAAGTTCATCCGGCTGCAGTCGGAACACGAATCGCACCTTCTGATCCTCCCTGAGCAAATAGATAAATACGTGGGCCACATCCCTCATGCCCAGAGTGTCATTGGCCAGTACCATGAAGTCAAAGTAGCCTTTCATGCCCTTCTGTGGGTCGAAGTTGAGTTGCACTTCTCCAGTCTCCGGATCGAGGAGAAAGGGCGCCTTCTTGACGTTCTCCAGACCCTCCGATAGAGTCTGACGGATTTCCCCCACCTGGTAGTACCCAATCTTGGCATTCTTTCCTTCGTCCGCATCCGTGGCCTCGACGCGCATGAATTTCAGGCCGAAATCCGCATTCGTGGTGATGCCGCCGGTGAAGATTTTCGACCGGAAACGCGGCGGGTTATCGTTGATATCCAAAACCCTCACTTTAACCTTCACAACGGTGCTGTCCTTTTCAGGGTTAGGCTCTTGAAAACGCTCCTCCTGGCTGCCATCGTAGCTTTCATAGGACACCAAATCTCCATCCCGATCCTCCTCTAGTTGGTACTCGCCGCTCTCAGCGGATCTCAGTTGCCGGGAGAGCTTGAAGCGATCGATTTCACTTGGCTGGTGATGCAGGTGGCCTCCCAATCGGCTGCTGATCTCTATGCCCATGTGGCGGCGTTTCTCTCCAGCGGTTAGCGAATCATTTCCACAGTTTTCCGTCGCTTTCACGTAAAGAGTAAAATTTCCCACCACCTCGCGATCCAACTCGCGACTGACACTCAAGACGTGGGTATCGGGATCCAGCTGGAAGTAGCCAGCTTCGTTGCCACTTACTATGAAGTAACACACCTGGCTGGGTGCTTCGTTCGGGTCATCCAGATCCAGCTGATCCTTGTCTATGGTGTCCGGAAGCTTTATTCTCTCCGCCCCTGGATCCGAGTGCTCCGTAAAGTTCACGGATATCTCGTTGACAATAAACTGCGGTTCGTAGTCGTTAACATTGCGAACGTAGATGCTGAGATCCAGATCGGAGCTCAAGGAGGTAGGCAACCCCTGATCATAGGCCTCTATACGGATCTGGAAGGAAGGACTTGGTTAGTACCTAGCATTGGACGGAATCTAATGTTCCCTTCATACCTCATGAATCTTTTGCTTTTCTCGGTTGAGAGGTTCCCTAAGGAATAGCTCGCCGGTGTCGGGATTGACCTGAAACATTTTGTAGCTGCCCAAAGGATCGGGCTTTAGGCGGTATCTGACCAGGGCATTTTGGCCCATGTCTGCATCGCTGGCATAAGCTTGTAGTATCAAGGTCCCCACAGTGGCGTTTTCCGGAATCCGGACTGTGGTGTTGTGCAGGGGCCTCACGAAAACCGGAGCGTGGTCATTGAAGTCCGACACGCATATGTCCAGAGTGCTGTGCACAATGTTGGGTGGCGTGCCCAGGTCCCGGGTGGTTATGGTGAGACTGTAGTTTCCATATCGGTTGCGGAGGCTTTGGCTGGCGAAGATGTACGCGTTCCAGGGGTCCACCTGCCGCAGCTCAAAAGTGCCTGCAGAAGAAATAACTTGAGCTACCGACTCCTAGTTCACCCAAAAAGTTCACATACCATCCTTGTTTCCTTGCGAGATGGAAAAATCCAAACGTCCATTGGGCGTGGTGGGATCGTCTGCATCTTTGCCCGATATGCTCGCCACTCGTTCATGCAACTCATGGTACTCCGTAATGAGGACACAGCTGCCGGGCAGACTCACCTCCGGGGGATTGTCGTTCTCGTCAAGGACGGAGATGCTACAAGAGGGTTCATATAAGAACTCAAAAGGGATCTCTTTTGATTAAAATCTACTTACAAAACCTGCTTGAAGGCGTTGCGGCTCTCGCCAGCCAGGAAACCAAACTGGTAGTTGTCCCAGGCCTCGATGACTAGGTTGTAGGAGTCCTTGGATTCCCTGTCCAGACGATCGGCCACCGCCAGCACCCCCGTGTCCGCATCTATCGTGAACTTTCCCTGAGAACTGATCCTATCCATTAGGAAGGTAATCTTGCCAAAGTCTCCCGAGTCTGCGTCCGCTGCCTGCAAGGTGGCAATCCTCGTGCCCGGTGGGGCATTCTCGCTGATGGTGTAGTTCTTGGCGCCTCCCACAAAGTACGGGTTGTTGTCGTTCTCATCCAGAACCGTCACATAAACGTCCACTAGAGAGGAACGCGGGGGCAGACCCGAGTCGGTGGCGCGGACACTAAAGTTCAGCCATTGGTGCTGCTCGTGGTCGATCTTACTGGCGACCACGATCTCCCCCGTTTGGGGATCTAAATGCATCAGGGATCGGTAGATCGGATTCCCCTCAAGGGCGTAGGTAATGGTGCGGTTCTTGTCCACGTCGGAGGCCAAAACATTTACGATCATGGCCCCATTGATGCTGTTCTCGGTGATGGATTGTCGGTAGAACGGTTGCCTGAACTTGGGGTTGTTATCGTTCTCGTCCAAGACATGGATGGTGAGGAATCCTGTCGAAAGGATTTTGTCAGAAAGACTTAACCTCGAGGCAGAAAATTAATAAATACCTTCTGTCATCTGCCTGCCCTTTGCGGCTGCCAAATCCTCCACTATTACGGCCAGCTTGATGTGCTCCACCCTCTCCCGATCAAGTACTTTGATCACCTTGAGAGTTCCTTCGATGGCGTCCACGTCAAAGGCACCCAGGAAGTCGTACTCGCTATTCTTTACCAGAGCCCCCTCCTCATTGCGGGCCTCGCAGTGATCCGGGTTCAGTTTATACCTCAGTATGGAGTTTTGATCCGGGTCTGTGGCGTGAAGGCGGTACACCTGCGTCCCCACCACAGTGTTCTCCAGGACCTTTAGGGTGGGCATCTCTCCAAGCACCGGCGGCTTGTTGTTCACATCCTGTATGGTGATATTCACGGTGGCGGTGGTCATCAACTGGGAGTTGCCCAAGCCGCCATCCAGAGCAAGCTGTCGGGAATAGTTCATTATAAGTCATCTATTTCTAGTTTTCACGTGAATGTCGGACTAGTCACGTAAGGACTACTCACCACCGTCAAAATATAGAGCGTCCTTTTGTTGTCGGTCAAGTCGGGATCCAGATTCGCGCCCTGTGCCACCGAAATTACGCCCGTTTCCGAGTTTATTATAAACTTGTCACTAGCACCCGTCTGGATACGATATACCACCGCATTGTTGGGGGCGGATCCATCCCTATCCACGGCTGTGACCTGGAGCACTGAGCTGCCCCCAGGAAGGTCCTCAGGCACCGTTTTCGCATAGAAGCTGCGCTGGAATATCGGGGGATTGTCGTTCACATCCTGTACATAAATCAGCACAGGAACCACAGTGGACAGCATCGGTATTCCCGAGTCGCGGGCTCGTATCAACAGATCGATCTCCCTGATGCTGGATGAGATGCCCCCTGCCTGGGGTGTGGCTCCCCTTTGAGAGCTGTTCTCGACCAGATCTTCGAAATCAAAGCGGTGGAGCGGTCGCAACAACCCGCTCTGGGGATCAATGGTGAAGTTGGCTCGATACATGCCTTCCACTATCTCGTAGGTCACCTGGCTGTTCTCCGTGCCGTTGAGATCCGCGTCCCTGGCCTCCAGCTGGAGGGGAGTCTCGAACTCGGGCTGGTTTTCGAGCAGCTTGGTTTCGTACTGCCTTTGCGGGAAAGTGGGTGCATTGTCGTTCACGTCCTGGATGTCAATTATTATCTGGGCCGTGTTCCTATTTCCTTGGCCGACGCTATCGATGGCCTCCACTGTGAGGTAGTGTCGGGAGACGATCTCCCGGTCAAATGCAGATCCGCCCGGCTCTCTGATCGTAATTATACCCGTAATGGGGTTCAGGTGGAGTCTGAAAATACATTTATATGGAATTCTCCCGAAAACAGCACCAAAACTTCATTTTTGGCTTCAGAATCTACTTACAAGTGCGCTATGCCACCTCTGAGGTTGGTGTACCTTATCCCCGTGGTGCCAAAGTCGCCCGAGTCCACGTCCACCGCCTGCACCTGAGCAATCATCGTTCCCTGTTCGCTGTTCTCCAGGACGCTGGCATTGTAGATGCTCTGGCTGAATTCGGGAAAGTTGTCGTTCTGGTCGCGAATAAATATTTGAATGTGAGCGGAGCTGAAAGACATATTAGGAGGCTAAAGAATCGTCTCGGACTGAGGTATTTCGCAAACCAACCTCCATCTACTGGGCTCGTCGATCTCCCTGGCGAATATCGTGAAGTTAACCTCAGTGAACTTCTCAAAATCCAGCGACTTGGAGTTCTTGACCCTCAGCATAAAGTTCGCCTCATTCACCGCCAGTTCAGGCACAATTTCGAAAAGGTCATTTGGCGGATCGAGGAACAGCCGGAAAGTTCCATTGTTTCCTTCGTCGTGATCGAAGACTACGTTCTGGACGTCCTGGTCCATAAAGTTCAATGGAGTATTCGTCTGAGCGTTCTCGTTGACTTCGCAGCGGTACATAGTCTCCCCGAAAGTGGGGATTTCATCGTTTACATCGCTCACAATGATGGTAACCTCGGTCCGGACTGACATGGAGGCTACCTGGGAGTTGGTCTTCGAGAGCTCAGTGGCCGTGATCCGCAGGATGTGGGCTCCGTTGACCTGGTCGCTCTGCTCCTCGCGATCCAGTTCGGTCAGAGTGTACACTATGCCCGTGTGTGGATTAATGTCGAAAAGGTCATTGGCCTCCAGGGCGTAGGCTATAGGATTGTTGATTCCCCGATCTCCGTCGATAGCCCTGACTCTGAGTACCCTTGTGCCGACTGGGGCATCCTCTGCTATCCTGGCCACTGCCTGAACCTCTACGAACTCGGGCGGCTGGTCCTCCAGATCCTTCACCTTTACAAGGATAGCGGCCGTTCCTGTGTTGACTGGACCTTGGTTGGCCCGATCGATGGCCAGAATCCTTAGTTGGTAGAGGCTCTTCCTTTCGTAATCGAGCTCCTTTTCCAGCCTCAATACCCCCTTTCCCTGGTTTGTGGCTATGGAGAAGACCTCATTGTCGCCATCCAGCTCCTGCAGGTAATACACAACCTGCCCATAGGCTCCCTCATCCTCGTCCGTGGCCTCCAAAGTGGTGACCACTCCTGGCGGGCTTCCCTCCGCGATTTCGATGGCATTTTGGTAGGGCAGGAATGTCGGAACATTGTCGTTGATGTCCTCCACCAGGAGCAGGAAGCTCTGCGTCACATAGTTTTGGTCACTGTAGTGGCTGTCGGTCAGTGTCAGTACTATGGCATACTCGTCCTGCACCTCCCGATCCAGTTCCTTGGCCAAATATATCTTGGCTTCGTTGCCTCCTGTATTTTCTATGCGAATTATTTCGCTGTCATGGGAGTTTCGCTTCCCGAAGGTTAGCGGATCGTTCTCCGGGTCATAGCCTTTTAACGTGTAGATTAAGGTTCCTTAAGAGGGATAAATAAGGGGATTCTTGCAAATTCTTGAGAAATACTTGCTTCACTACCTTCCAACTTACCGACTTTCGTTTCAGGACTCTCCTTTAGGCGCAAAACAATCTCGGACTGCCCATCGATTGCGAACCGCGGCGGGCGATTGGAGGAGACCGAACCCACAAGTGTGGTGAGTATTATGACTTGGATGACTTGATAAAGGTGGCTGCTTACGACACTAGGGGTCTTTCGGTGGGGGTTCCGTTTTAAGCGGACCTTCTTGTACTCCATGTCTGTCGGCGGTTCGTTGTGCATTCTGGTGTGTGTGTTGCTTTGGAGCCGAAAACGACTACCACATGACAGGGTAATCTGGGGCCACGACACCTAGAAAAAGGCAGAGTGTTAGGAAAGAAGTTTTGACCCATTTTCCCTCATGTGTCGCCGTTTTATGGGCGGTGCTCTGTGACCCCGGGCAGTTTCGCTTGAGAAGAGCCAGCTCCAGCTCCAAGTTCCGAAATGAAAATTCTACAACTCGTTCTGCTATTGCCACATAGAACTCAATTAGGTCGCACGTTAAGAAATCTCAATGGACTCGCCACATATGCTATATGGATGGTATAACATGTCTGTCCGATCTAGTGTCCGTCTGTCCGCTTGTTCTTATGTCCGAATGTTCTGCGAAAGATCTCTGCGAAAGTTTTATGCGCAAATTAATTAAGCGTCGACTTTTTATTGGCTTTACTTCCATTTAGTTGGCTTTACATTCCACTTTTAGAGCTTGCTCAGCGCCAACCTGGAATTTCGCTGAAGAAATGCTTCGGTGTGTTATTGTTTTTCTTGGCGGTTTAACGACCGGAACGTTTTGCAAACTGCCCGCCAATTATTTGGCTTGGCTTGTTCAGATGCTCCACATTTGTCCCACCGCGAATTGTCCGGCTAATTGCAGATGAGTTCTCGCTCAGACGGAGTGAAAATCGAAAGTTGCACGTACTTCAATCTGGGAAAACCCAGCCCTCGGCGTTGCCTCACTTTTGGTGGTAAGCTCCATCTTTTCCCAAACTTGGCGTGCGAAAAATGTATCTCGGGTATCGCTGCACTTGTGATGACAGCATCTGTCAGATGCAGAAACATATGCATTATTAATGCCAGACATTGCCATTGTTCGAGGGTTCAACGCGGTTTGTTTGGTTTTACATTCGGAGCAAATGGAGAGCTGGTTCATTGATTTCGCAATTAAGCGGCTATTTCTTGATTGCCAGCAGATCGTAAATGCCTCCGCAACAAGGTAATTGATTTGTGTATCTCTCAGATAGCTCATTACCAGCCAGGTTGCATCAACCTCTGGGGCAATCATCTTCGGACTTATCTCTGCAAGTGGCGGGAAAATCAGCAGACAAGGTCGTTAGAGAGTCGCCTGAGCTGATCACGGTTAAGTGATTCAAAAGCCATTGCGATCCGCGCCCGATTTCGCTTTCAACACGCGCCGCATGCAACAGAGTATCTCGTAGGTACATTGTGTATCTTCTGCCTCAGCTTCTGCTTTTGGGCGGCAGCTTCTCTGCGATAATTATCCATGCATCCGTGGCCAGCGCATTTGTGTAACGACGCCAATTGGGTTGTTTGGTCAGTTGGTTCAGTTTTCCGAGGGACGGCCATTTCAGGCAATTTCATGCTGCACTGCCTCGGGTGGACGGCATAGAAGTGGGACTCGCCGAAATCGGGGTTATCAAAACTATTTTCGATGCATCAAAACTCAAACCTCAGCCAGCTTTTATTTATTTTTGTAAAATTTTAGACATTGTTCATGTATATTTTGTAACCCTAGCCTTAAGGTTGTAATGGGGAGCCTTAGATCCTAAATGGTTCCTGATTCTCCTCTCCTACCTTTCAAATACGTGGCCCATTTTACAAGATTGTTTATCAGTTTTTTCCGTGGACTCCCTTGAAAATGGGAAAATGACTGGAAACAGCTATATGGCCCAAATATATGGCTTTATCTTTCCCAAATCTCATCCGATTCTAAAGCGGAGTATCTTAAACGATTTTTAGATCGATTCCCCACCATTCTGCATTAAAATCCTGAGACAAAATATTTTTGACATTTTTTGTCTATTTTTCAAGAAGAGATCCCTGAAAATCGGGTTTTCCCCTATAGGGTCCACAGTGATGGCTATATCTTCCCCAATTCTCATCCGATTCTAAAGCGGAGTATCTTAAACGATTTCTAGATCGATTCCCCACCATTCTGCATTAAAATCTTGAGACAAAATATTTTTGACATTTTTTGTCCATTTTTCGAGAAGAGATCCCTGAAAATAGGGTTTTCCCCTATAGGGTCCACAGTGATGGCTATATCTTCCCCAATTCTCATCCGATTCTCAAGCGGAGTACCTTAAACGATTTCTGGATCGATTCTCCACCATTCTACATCAAAATCCTTAGACAAAATATTTTTTAGATTTTTTGTCCATTTTTCATGATGAGCTCCCTTGAAAATGGGGTTTTCCCCTATAGGATCCACAGTGATGGCTATATCTTCCCCAATTCTCCTCCGATTCTCAAGCGATTTGTATATCGATTCTCTACCATTCTGTATCAAAATCCTGAGACAAAATATTTTTTAGATTTTTTGTCCATTTTTCATGATGGGATCCCTTGAAAATGGGGTTTTTCCCAATAGGGTCTACAGTGATGGCTATATCTTCCCCAATCTTGATCCGATTCTCAAGCGGAGTACCTTAAACGATTTGTATATCGATACTCCACCATTCTGCATCAAAATTCTGAGACAAAATATTTTTTACATTTTTTGTCCATTTTTCATGATGGGTTCCCTTAAAAATGGGGGTTTCCCCTATAGGGTCCACAGTGATGGCTTTATCTTCCCCAATTCTTATCCGATTCTCAAGCGGAGTACCTTAAACGATTTGTAGATCGATTCTCCTCCATTCTGCATTAAAAAAATATCCCTTGAAAACGCGTTATTCCCCCATATGGACCACTATATCTATTTATATGGACCATTATATTTATTTATATCTATTTAAGTTACTCGAAAATATCTTGATTGGGAATCGGGGTTAATTCGACGTTTGGGATCGGAATTGGATTGCCAACATTATAAAATTTTACCAACTTAAACAAAATTATTGAAAATGTTGAAGCTAGGGTATAAGTATTACTTTATGGCCAAGATATCACTCCCCAAATTGGCCCATTCAAAATCGCATATGGGCTTAATTAAGGGGTCACGCCACCCTGAAATTTTCAAAAAAATCGTTTTTTTTTTTTTTACTTAATTTAAAAGACTATATTCTTACGCGTATTTTAAGACGTCCCCGAAGACAATATCTTGATAATTATAGAAGTTATGTTTATTTGAAGGCGGCACTGCAGGAGGGCACCTAAGACACTTCTTTTTCTTCTTTTGCGTTTTTCTCGAAACCACTTTTTTCAAGACGGTGGGCATGATAACTCAAAAACTGTTCAACCGATTGACTTAAAAATTGAAACACAGCTTCTTACATAGATTTTCCACAGAGTGACGTAGGATTTTTTGATCCAATGGATAGAAATTTTTTATGCAATTTTTAGTACGAAATTTTTGCCCAAAACATTGAGTCAAGTTTTGAAGTGCTCTCATTTGCGTAATTTTTCTTCTTTTCTAAAACGGCTACGTCACTCTGTTCGAAATTTATCACTTTTTAAAAAAAAATGTTGTTTACTTTTTTCTGATGAAAATTGACACGTGAATCATGCCCACCATCAAGGAGCACTCCGGAAAAACCCATGATCGCCGATGTTCATATCTCCGCCATTTTGAATTGAAAACAAATTTTTTTTTAGAATTTATAAAGCTCATTAGTTGTATTAAATAGAAATAAAAGGGGAAAAATCCTATCTCAACTAGTTTAGTCACAAGAAATTCCTGAAAAACCGTCCCGTTTCCACGCGGTCAGGGTGGCGTAACCCCTTAAGTCTATTAGTGGCAAACGCACTTCCACTCCCATTGCCGGCGCTTTCTTGCTGGCAATTTTCCACACGGCGAAAACCCACTGAATTAAGCCAAATTAATAAGTTACGCCGCCAAAGATCGGCAAAGTCAGACGGGGTCTGCCATTTCCCCCCGATTTACGTAAGTGGAAAGTGTGGCAGAAGCGGCTGCTCCGAAAGGTCTAACGAAACATTTGGCCAAGTCACCATGACGACGGCGCCTTTCCGCGATACTTGAGATACATCTCAGCCTATGAGATACACATGTATCGTGAATCCGGGCGATCTTGGGTGCTAATGACTCTGGTTCCAGGGTTCACGCTTGGCGAGCTCTGACCCGGTGTCCGACTTGGCCAAAAGTGAAATCCTGCACATAATCTGCCAGCGGACTCTGAGTCTCCAATGGATACCACTCTTGTGGGTTTCTGGGCAACCGCAAAACAAACAGCTTCAAGGTAATCTCGCCCAATGCGAAGCTACAGAAATGAAAATCCCAATAAACAATTTTGATTTGTTTGCTGCTGTTCGTGGCGACAAGTTCCCCGGCTCTTTCTCCGGCTCATGTCAGCCACCTAATCGCCGGTTCATGACTTTCCACGCCAGGCAGAGACTTACTTAATTATATTAAAAATGTTAAGCCCGTCGAAAAGTGGCAGGCACATACATTTACTACTTATGGTACATACGGAGAAACCTAAATCAATTTTATGAAATTAAAAAATTGTAGTTTTAGTTAATCCATTACTATATTACATGGTAAAAGTAAGTAATCTTTTTTCTTAGTGCACAGATCGCGATGGCAATGCAGATTGAGATTGCCGCGGATCGTGTTGTATTGTGACCAGTGTTGCCTCCAGTTTCCGGCCCGCGGGCTGAGCAAACAATCGGGGCGCTGGCCTGGCGTTTCGAGTACTCCAATTTGAACACTTCCTCCCCCGTATTAGGGCCCTTTTGTCATGCCCATCGATTCCGATATACAGTCAAGTTCAACGCCAGCAGCAGCCAGCGACGACAAACAAAAGACCAGGCCGGGACCGTGGCTGGGGACTGCCGGGGACAGGGCTTCGGAGTTGGCCGTTGCGGTAGCTTGGTTTTGACTCATAGCCCGGGTTCAAGCGACGCCCGCATCCGTCTCACTACCCCAGTGGAGCCCAAAGAGCCCTGAATCTCTTGGCTTGAGCAATTTGTCCGTTACACTTCGGCTCCTTTTCTGGCTCGAATTTTGCATTTTTCTATTTGGCTTCAAGTGTTTCTACATTTGGAGCAATTAAACAGTTTGGGTCGGTGGTCTTGGAAGAGCAGAGAAGTCCTTGAAGTGGGCTGTGACCTTATTGGCGGGCCAGCCAACGGGGGTGTTGCAGCTTGCAGCTTGATCATAGAGCTTCGTCACTCACCCTCAAGTCTTCCATGCGAGGAAACCCCCCAAGTAACCCCAGTGTCCTGAAAACCGGTTGCTTACTTACCCCTGATGCAATGCGTTTAGCAGCAAATGCAATTATCCTTTCGGTAGAGAAGCCTGTTTTGAATATCCTTTGGCTTACTTTCGACTTTCGGTTATTTCGAGTTTCACACTCGAGCGTCTCTCAACCACCAGAACTATCAAAGAACTGACAAATTTCGTGGCTGACACATTTCCAAAGGCTGCGACAACAACGTCACTGGTAATTAGGCATGAGTCAAGAACCCCGCGGAACACATACTGTCATTATGTTATAGAATGAACTCCATATGGCGGTGCAGAAGTACAGAATGGAGCCGCGTAAAATAAACGTGTCGCACGCTTCGAAATTGGGCAATGCACGAACCGGAACTCGACTTGCAAGTGGGGGGGAGGTCGGTAGGAATTCACTTAGTTCACTTAGCTCTGGTGACACTTTTACCCGCTGGAGGAACGTGTCTCCAAAACACGATCGTAGCTCGTAGTTTTGGCCAAGACCTGGCTTGGATTTCGAAATCTAAAACACCGTTAAGCCCGAGATCTTTAGACCGCATTCGAAGTGTCTTCCCCAAGAGCCGATTGCAGACTGGCAACCGGTGGAAGCTCTGCGGGAGACTCGAGTTGTCGCCGAAAGCCATGGCAACGCGTGTTGGCCAACAGAGAGCGGCAGTGCAGGCACGCGAGTAATTAGCCGAGCGTAAATTCCACCGGCAAGCGTTCCATCGGCGGGGGAGCTTTGTTTGTTTACAATTTGCAAGCCGATAGCTGATCCGCTCACTGGAAGAATGGTACTGGAAGGGAGGAAGTGCCCATTTGGTAGCCGGTGGTGGTGGCTGGGCTGCCCCGGAAGTAGGGCTTATGCAACTTTGAAGGTTGCTCCACTGAACAATGGGGGATGTCCGGACGGTCTGGATTTCTGGATTAATGCTTATTCGGTTCTTTCCACTTTTCAGAGTTTGATTTTCATCTGCAACTGGCACGCGGAGTATGTCCCAAGGCAAAGTCATGGCGATGAGAAAGGGAAGCACCGGCGAACTGGCGCGCAAGCCCAACGGCGTGGTGGTGAACCTGCCGCCCGTGGTCAAGAAGTCCAGCAAGAGTCGCTCCTTTCACTTTCGCTACATGGAACTCTGCCGGGCAAAGAATTTGACTCCAGTTCCGGAAATACGTAGCAAGTCCAATACAACCACTTTTCTTGAGCTCTGCGGCGACAAGTTGGCAGTCAGCGACTGGCTGCTGCTAACCGAGGCACTGCACTACGACCTGGTGCTTCAGCAACTCACGGTGCGTCTACGACGCACCTATCCCCAAAGTGAGTCCACAATCGAGAAGGTTATAAGGTACTATAGGTACTTATACTTATTTTTCCTATCTCTGGCAGCCAACATTGATTCCATTGACACGGAGAAACGAGCTCGGCTTTTCCGCCAGCGCCCCGTCATATACACAAGATTCATCTTTCACAGCTTAGTTCAGGCCATTGCAAACTGCGTCGCCAGCAACAAGAATTTAAGTGTTTTGAAGCTGGAGGGTCTGCCACTGCAGGACAGCTACATCGAGACTATAGCCAAGGTAAGTCCGATATCCAAAGACAGTATCTGCTTAGACCGTTTCCTTTCCAGTCCCTTGCCGACAATGAGTGCCTGGAGACCGTGAGCTTCCGCAAGTCCAACATCGGCGACCGAGGATGCGAGGTGGTCTGCAACACGGCCAAGTATCTGAACCGCATTGAGACCTTTGATCTCTCCGAGTGCGGACTAACCTCCAAGGGGGCCGAGCACGTGGCCGAAATGATTAAGGTAGAACGACACTTTTTTTTTAAGGTTCTCTCGATTTCACTTCCATGTCCTTTTCAGATGCAAAAGATCACGCGCTTTACCGAGGGGTGGGAGAAGTCCCTGCGCTATCGCAGCGTTGATGTCAACACTATATCCGGATTGCGTGTCATCCTGCTGGCCAATAATCCGGAGATCGGAGACGACGGCGTTCGCCTTATCGCTGAGGTCCTGAAGGAGGATGCATGGATTAAAAGTAAGAAACCGGGTGGTGTGTCTAAAAATTGTATGGGCTATCTCTTGCAGCTGTTGACATGGAGAACTGCGGCCTTACGGACATTGGGGCTAATTTAATACTAGATTGCCTGGAGCTAAACACTGCCATCACGGAGTTCAATACCCGCAACAATGAGGGCATCAGCAAGTTTTTGCAGCGCAGCATCCGAGACCACTTTGGAGAGCCCGCCGAGGAGAAGCAGGAGCCGGAATTCGACCTTAGCTTTGCGAACGGACTGCAGAGCTTGCCCAAGAACAAGAAGGTCACTCTGTCCCAGCTGCTGAGTCATGCCAAGGCTCTCGAGGAGCAGTTATCCTTCGAGAGGACTCTGCGCAAGAAGGCGGAGAAGCTGAACGAGAAGCTACTGCATTCGCTGATGAGCTCCTCCGATGCTGGAAATATGTCACAAGAGAAGAACTCGGACAGCGGATCACTCCAACAGCAGAGCAACTACGGCGCCAGGAATGATGATGTTGTTAAGAAGTGAGTGAATCGGGGAAATTGGGGGAGAATGTCCCAGTCGGGAAAACTAACTTTTTTGTCCAGTTCCCAGAGCTACCGCCAGACGCACTTCAACAGGCTGGTCAACAGCGCAGTCACTAGTCCGGAGAACTCGCCACGGAGCGATATAGCCACGCTGCGCAAGGAGCAGCAACTGCAACAGATGCAACAACAGCAATTGCAATTGCAATTGCAGCAGCAGCAACAGATGCAGCTGAATCAATTGCAGCTGCAGCAACAGCAATCTCCCCACCTGCAGATGCAGCATTCGCCACCGGAGCCTCAGACACTGAGAACTCTGCGGGAAGAGCCAGTGGAGGAGGAGGACATCGAACAACTGGAATACAACCAGTCCGAGCTGGACCAGTTGCCCGAAATGCAACAGCAACGCAAGCCTCTGAAGGTGCGCAAGGTTCGCAGCGAGATGAAGTACGTGGAAGCTAATCTTAAGGATCAAGCCAAGAACCGCGAGTCCAAGTCAGACCACGAGTTCGCCAACGAGCGTGATGTGAGTTACAGATCCTTTGAAATGGTGGCAAGTTTTAACCTCCTTTTCCCCCAGTTCAATCTTAATCCTGCCGTAAAGTTTGAAACAGACATTGGGGATAGTGTAAAGGTAAATTCCGGCAGGCGTCACGATGGCGAGGGCAACCCGGATTATCCTGGATACAACTACGAGCAAGAGCATCAGCATGTGAAACGAGATCGGGGCCACGAGAACGGCTACGTGGGTGACGGCGGCCGGAAGCCCATGAGCCTAGGTGAGGCTCTGAAGCGTTGTGGGGCAGGTGGGGGATCCGGAGACGGTCATGTGGCTCAGTATGTCAGCAGCCTGGAGAGCAAGGCAAGCAACAGCGGCAATAAATCGGGAAGGCAGCGTTACAAAGCGAAGCAGGAAGAGCTTCGCATGGAGTCGTACATGGCCACCTACGAGGAGTGCTCCTCCACGGACGATACCACGGTGGACAACTCGGAATCTGAGGCGGAGAATACCGAGTCTACATTGCGTGCCAGTGCGAGCTCGCGGTCAAGCAAGTATTCCTCTATGCAGGTATTTATGCGGCGAAAGCATTCAGAGTCGTTCTCCACGGAGGACGACTGCGCCGAAGACGAGGATGAAGCCACTGCGGGTCAAGGAGATGCAGGAGACGGTGATGGCGGGGGTGGAGGCGATACTGGGGGCGAAAAGTTCCCTTCGCCTCGAGAAGTTTACCTGGCGTTGCAGCGCAAGAAGAGGGAGCAGAACTCATAGTTGTCCTGTTCCACAAAAACGGCAACCAAGCCAAATTTCATTCGCAGCAGCAGGAGGAGCAGCAGCACCTCTGCCCAACATCAATACCGATAACTCTAACAGTGCAAACGGACGTTCAATAGGGTCACCCCCACTTGGAGAGCTAAATTTCAAGTTGTACTTTCGGGAAGTACACGGGGGGAAACTCTTTGCAAGTGCTCTGCTACCTTCTGCAATTTTCCAAGCTGCGCAAAAATGTACAAAAAAATATATTGAGCATTGTATTACCATTAAAGATTTCGTCATTATTGTGCTCTACTTGAATATTGTTTGCTTTATTTGTGCAAGACCTTAATTTGAGTTGAAGTGGAATATGCGTGGTTACATTATTGGATAAGTTTTTTAATATTGATTTGAAGAGCGACCAATTGGTTATATATGGTTCAGGTGGTGGACCCGGAGAGTCCTCTGCGAACCTCTTAACCTCCAAAGCCGTAGAGGGTGCGTCCCTGGCGCTTGAGAGCGTAGACCACGTCCATGGCGGTCACAGTCTTGCGCTTGGCGTGCTCAGTATAGGTGACGGCATCACGGATCACGTTCTCAAGGAATACCTGGTGCGGGTAGACTCCGGATTAGGATTATTAAGATCAAGACCTGTTTGTCTTAACTCACCTTGAGGACACCGCGCGTCTCCTCGTAAATCAATCCCGAAATACGCTTCACGCCCCCGCGGCGGGCCAAGCGGCGAATGGCCGGCTTGGTGATGCCCTGGATGTTATCACGCAAAACCTTGCGATGGCGCTTGGCGCCCCCCTTTCCTAGTCCTTTGCCTCCCTTTCCGCGTCCAGTCATTTTTCACTTGTAGATTTTTCCTGCAAAACAAGAAGACGCAATTAGACAGCCGCCATGTTTTAGTTTACAGAAAAAGAGAGTTTAAGCCATTAAACTCTTTTTTAAGAGGAGTTATTGTCTACTAAGATGGTTCAGTAAGCCTGACTAAGCCTGGCTTAAAATACCTTTTTAAACTATAGCTATTTAGTGCTAGCCTTTTTGTTCTTTTCTTACTTGATTTCACCAACAAAAATTAGTGCTGGCCAAACATCAGAGTACTATCGTATCATTTTACTGTTAGAAAATACCGTGTTTTTCAACACTAAAAAAGTATAAGAATGCAATGTTAAACATTATAATTTAATGTTATTTAGTTTCATATAAAAATCATATAAAAATTTAAAACAAAACCAATCGAGGACGATGCTTTGCCATATTTTTATTGTTTTTTTTATTTAATTTGTTTAACAAAAAAAACAATAAATAGAAATAAAAGTTTCATAATTTTCACATAATTTAGCAAGATTATTGTTTGCCTAAAAATAAATAAGATTCCAAAAAGAATTTAATGATCAATTTGTTACATTACAATATTAAAATTAATTGGGAAATTAATGTTAAATTTGGCGCATTTTTTCCTTCAAATTTTTCCTGCTTATTTCAAAAATATTTTAAAATTTGTTTATGTTAAATTTTAACAGAACGAAAAATGATATCACTATCGGAATTTTTCTATCGAGTGTTGTTAGTATTTACAGTATTTTTTTTTTATCGATAAATAGTACAATATACGATGTCTGTATCGCAAGAAGTCAACCTCCACAAGACAAGAAAAGAATTTTAAAAGAAATACGCGGATTCGGATTAAAAGCTTGGAAAATCGGCAAAATCGGATCGGCGCGAGTGTTATCATTGCTATTTGTCCGATGTGAGTGAATAGCGTCGGGAAATCCAAGGAAATCGCGGAAAAATGTGCACGACCACCCACACATATAGTATACACAGGGAGTGAGGCGACATCCAGATCCCAACCAGAACGGAGTGCCAAATAACAACACAAATTGTGTCAAAAAACTGAATTCGCGTTGCGTTACGTATACGCAGCGAGTGGTGTAAACCAGGTGCCCCAGTGATAACGCCGAACATGTCCAAATACGAGGCGCTGCTTTATCTTACGGCGCAGCTAGTGCTGGGTATGTATTCGTGTATATTTTGAGCGACACATTGGCGCCCAAGTGCAGCTAATAGGCGTGCTGGCAGCAGATACTTGTATTTTGATTTGACGTTAATTAGATTGCTATAAGTGAGCTTCCAGCTCATCGAATTTGGTTATAAAACAGCGCGTTTCCAAAATACAGGGTATCAACGATCCACATCAGACATGAAGCCCATGGATTATGTGTACGCAGAGTTTCTTTGAATGGATTTCACTGCATTAGAAACTTGTAGGGTCGGGTTCGGAACTCGGTTCGGATTCGGATACGAAATCGGGTTCTGGTTTCCTCCTTTCCCCTCCCGCCCTGACCATCGCGCTCTGGGGCGCTTCTCCCCCTCTCTCCGCTGTGGTTGTTGTTATTTCTGCTTATGCTGCCGCTGCCGCTGCTTCCTTTCTCCCCACAAGCGCCACTTTAAACTCATCCCCTTCTGGCTGCATAATGTGCCTGCTTATGTATCTACTTTACTATAAGCATGCTCGATGCCATGGGAACAGTGGGATCACAACGTTTCCGTGCAGATGGACAGAGGAAGGCTGCAGGAAGGAGCAAATCCATGTGCTCCTCAAAGAATCCTAAGTGAACTGTGGCAACTGTGCCATTGCTAATTGTGTTAAACATTCTCAAGTGCTAATTAGTATAGAGACTATTTAAATTAGTAAGAAGTAATTAAACCCATGATGACCGATCTCATGTAACAATGGGACCTTAAATGTTGACGTGCTCGCCTGCACTTGCCTCACTGTGCAGCAGTGCAACTGTGCATTGGGGCCATGCCCACTCGAAGGCTGGTGTGTGGCCAGTGGAGCTAATTCCGTGGCCCGAAAGGGGTGGCTTTCAATGGCACGGGCTTTGGGCTCGGCTCTTCTTGTGGGCATGCGATATGTGTACAAAGGATAGCGCCCACAAAGAGCTCTCTCCCGACCCCTCCTTCCCTAAATAGGCCTCGAACAGGACCACCCCTTTGGCCCATCCATCCGATAATTGCATTAACTTTGATTCGCTTGGCAAATAGACTAAAGTTTAAGTTGTTAGTTTTAAACCATATTGTTTAAAGTAATAAGTAATAATGCCCATTGTCTTTTCCAGGCTTCGTCCTCAATGGCGTGCAAGCATCTATTCTGCCCGAGTCCCACCACAATATTATGTGCGAGCAGTATGATGAGAAGTGGTGCAACAAGTCAGCGAATGAGACGTCACAGTGCGAGACGCGAATCGAACGCTGCCAGCAAGAAGGTGGCAAGGTGCCCAGCTGCTACGTCCTGTGGAGCCACAACGAGGCGACGGGTGAGTGGCAATGAGCTGGGTTTGCATCCCAAATCTAATTCGAATTCTCCGTCCGCAGGCGACATGAGAGTCAAGATGAAGGGCTGTTTCACATACATGCACGAGTGCAATCAGACGGAGTGCGTGACCAGCACGGAGCCGCGAAAGGAAAACATTTACTTCTGCTGCTGCATGGGATCTCGCTGCAACTCCGACCACAAGTATATCCGGACCACTACGGAGGCGACCGCACAAGGTTGGTTTAGGAACGAATTGGAGGGGGGGTTTGTTTTTTCCCGTGTTTACCCCAATTTCGTTACTTTCCGCTTGCAAAGTGCATTTATTTTTTGTTTATTTTGTCACTCATTTTATTGCATCTTCAAATTGCAACTCCCTCCCTCTCTGCCCGCCACCGGCAGCGTTTTTCGTGTTAACGAACTCTCGACGCAAAGTGGCGCCCCGCACCCTAACCATTTCGCATCTATGAGCCCCGGCAGCAACCCTTTTTGCTGGCAGCATGTGTTGCAATTTCTGCTCTCCCGTGCACGTTCACTGGATGAGTTTTTATTTTTATAGCAGGGATACCTCTTGGTGCAAGGGTATACTGTTTCGTGCCTGTGATGTGCAATATATCTCGAAATTCTTTATTTCCAAATGTAGTTCTTAAATAATACTGGGTATAAAAAATTTCTTACCATTCCAAAAGCTGTTTTCACGTCATCTCCCTTCGACTTTTTGTAGGTTGTTTGCTTTTTGATTTTTTTGGGGTGTTGCTGCTGCCTTTGACTTGGTATCCCTGTAACGCCACAGCGTCTTTTGTGCCCTGCGCTTTGTTGTTTTGTTCTTGGGTCCTAGCTCGCTTTTATCTCGATGCAAAATGGGGGAAAAAGAGATGCGAAATTGGGGGCGAACTTTCGTTTTTTGGTCTTCGTTTTGCCTTAGCCGTAGCCACCCCCTTGCGACCGGGCGTTGCAGGAGTTGCAGGTGGCACTCGAGATGTTGTTCACCTGTGGCAGCAGAGGAACCATTTAAAGCTCGCTTTAACATTCTTACCGCATTTGTTGCAGTGCCAAAGGAAAAGACGCAGGGTGGCAGCAATTTGGTGTACATCTACGTGGGCACCTCCATCTTCACGGTGCTCATGGTCATCCTGTGGGCCTCTCTGTTCATGTATCGCCGACGAAAGCAGGCCCACTTCAATGAAATACCCACGGTGAGTAGCTCTACTAAATGTCTACGAGAATTTTGTTCATGAAACTCTTTTCTAGCACGAGGCGGAGATTACGAACTCGTCGCCATTGCTGAGCAATCGTCCCATCCAGCTGCTGGAGCAAAAGGCCAGCGGCCGCTTCGGCGATGTGTGGCAGGCTAAGCTGCATGGCCAGGATGTGGCCGTCAAAATCTTCCGCATGCAGGAGAAGGAGTCGTGGTGCACGGAGAATGAGATTTACAAGCTGCCGCGCATGCGCCATCCGAACATACTGGAGTTCCTTGGGGTGGAGAAACACATGGACAAGCCGGAATACTGGTTAATCTCAACGTACCAACACAACGGCTCCTTGTGTGACTACCTCAAGTCGCACACAATCACATGGCCCGAGCTGTGTCGCATCGCCGAGTCCATGGCGAATGGACTGGCCCATCTGCACGAGGAGATTCCAAGCTCAAAAACGGACGGACTAAAGCCCTCCATTGCTCACCGAGACTTCAAGTCAAAGAATGTTCTGCTCAAGGGCGATCTGACTGCTTGCATTGCCGACTTTGGCTTGGCCATGATCTTTCAGCCAGGCAAGCCGTGTGGCGACACTCACGGCCAAGTGGGCACACGTCGCTACATGGCCCCCGAGGTTTTGGAGGGTGCCATTAACTTCAACCGCGACGCCTTTCTGCGCATTGACGTTTATGCTTGCGGGCTGGTTTTGTGGGAGATGGTATCACGCTGCGACGTTGTCGGACCTGTCGGCGAGTTCCAACTGCCTTTCGAGGCGGAGCTGGGGCAAAGACCCACCTTGGACGAGGTGCAGGAAAGTGTGGTGATGAAAAAACTTCGACCCAGCCTGCTCAGCTCGTGGCGTACGCACTCGGTAAGTTATCAACTACTGACCAGATATACCAGAACTCGGTGACCAGATTGATTTTTCCAAACAGGGCCTGAATGTGTTCTGCGACACAATGGAGGAGTGTTGGGACCACGACGCGGAAGCCCGCCTCAGCTCGTCCTGTGTAATGGAGCGCTTTTCACAACTTAACAAATATCCCTCGGCACAACTACTGATCAAGAACCACACCAATATCGATGATGCGAAGGAGTCTACAAATTGCTTATAGAAGCGGTACTAAGCCACAGGCTTAGCTGTGGCTTTCGAGCAAAATCAGTCGAGGATTCGTTTGTAGTTCAATAGTTTTAGTAATGTCATCAGCATCTATCGCTCATAGAAGTAGTCGAGGGTGAAGAATCGGATGAGCGTAAGAAGATATATAAATTGTAGATACTATCCGATACTATCGGATATGATCTGCCGTGATCTTGCATCTTTGAGTATGGCAGGTATATACAGTAAAATTCGCTTAACTACACCCAGTCGATTGAGATTGAGGGCAGCATATTTTTCTGAAACAAGTGCAACAGGCAGCTAACTTGGATGCAGCAAATGTAATTTTTTATACAAAAAATCCATGAATACAAACAATATTATTAGAGACAACTTCTATTCTTATCGGAGCAGCTAGGCAATGAGGCAGCTAAGCGAATAATACTGTATACCCAAAGCGAAAAAGAACAAAAGCATAGGACGCGGCGCTAAGTGGCATATAAGTGTTAGCAACTCGTCCCATATTGACTTCATTGACTGATAACCGTACATAGTTCTATATATATAAAATCCAGAAAAATGACGTACAATTTGTTTGCAGCCTCCGGCGGCAGTAGTGTTTTTTGTGCAGCTATAAAACTGTTATTGAAGCCTTTAACAATATTTTTTGTTCTCGAGATCGTCTCCATCTAGCATAAGAGTAATTTTAATTTCTGTCGTATCTTTACGTTACATTTTAATTTTACCCTGTAGTCGTAATATTTTTATTTCCAGAACTTTGCATGTGTTTTTTAATGTTGTATTTTGAATAAAAGAAAAAATACTTTAAACTCTATCCTAACAATTTTAATTTATTATTTTTATTTACGCCCTGACGTAGTAAGTGTATAATCGTAGTGCCAAGAACCCAGAATGTGTAATTATAACAATGTATTCTAATTATACTGGAAAGTACAAGCAACACCTGAAGTTTTCAAATGAAAGTTTCTTTTTAATGAGAATCTAACTTAAGCGCATATACACATAATGTATTCACACCACACCCATATTCACACTTACATGCTGACTTATAAAGGTTTATAAAGTGCACAGGACTCTAAATCAGAATCAGAATCAGACTCGAATATGTAGAATATTGCGAGTAAGTATGTTAAATATTGTTACTCAGCCAGTAAGTCTTACCATGTTACCGCATGTACATACATACAAGTATTAGAATATTCTCGAAAAAGCATCTTTGTATCTTTCCAATTGATTTGAAACTGGTTTGCGCAACACTCTCATTAAGATACCTACTAAAATAGACACGATACGCAACACGAAACAAAACAAGACAAAGCTTCATTACCTGATTTTCTTTAGCAACATACAACAAAAAATAATTTATGCGAGATCAAACGAATTATTCATAATAGATTGAATTTTGTTAAGCTCTATTTAATTTCTACTTACTTTGAATTGGTGCTGGAAGATCATGAACGAAATGATAAAAAAAAAATGTAGATTAAGACGACAGTTTAAGGACAAACATATTTGCCGAGCGAAGAAAATTAAATAGTATATTTAATCAATGTAGTTTGTTACATATCAGATGGAATAGTCTTTAACGAAACTAATAATACGCATTGCCCGAGAGTTGCCGAAACTTTTTATAACATTATACAAGATACAGGCCAACAGCATTTTGTATATTTTTTATGCATTTCATAAATCAACATACACAAAGATAACCATAAAAATGTTTTTAAAAAACATCCCATTTTGGAATATCACCAGAAACGTTTTATAAAAACCTGTAAGTGAAATCAAATATTATACGAAATGATTGCTAGTCATGTTAAACAATTTTTGAAATAATAAAAGCCCCCTGATAATGGATTTAAAAAATAAAGATTGAAATGTTTAAAAAAACACCTTTGTTCTTTAATAAAAGTCCATTTCTTTTCCAGCTTTCTTTCCATGCTTTTCAGTTTTTTATTAAAACTCTCTTTCAGAAACATTCAGTATTAAATATAGACCATTTGGATTATACTTTTATATATAATATATATAATTTAACATTAAAATTAGGAAAACTTAGCTACGATTACAAACGTGAGTATTAAGGGATGTTCCAGGTTGGAAAGAAAACTAAAGTACACACGGTATTGATAAAAAATATTCTATTTACATTTATCTAAGTAGTTTTGTGACTTTGGACCATTTCAGTTGTAGTTCTACTCTCGATCGCTGCTGGGTCGCTCTTCCATAACTTATCAGACTTATCCTTCGCATCCGTTTACATCTCTGGGCAAAAATCGGTCTCTATCAAATGCAAATATGTAAAGCATTCCGTGTCCTGTGCGTTCTGAATGGGTGGCTTACTAAAATATATTCTGATTCTGGTACGCGAGACTACGATTTGAGTATAACTGCGTTCTAGGCTAGACATGTACAGTATATAGTCAGGGGCAGATAAAGAATGCCCGCCACATTCTTCCAAAAGTGTTCAGTAAATAAAATAACAGTTTATCTCCTATACGAAGGACCTAAAGGATTTTCTAAACTCTAGGAAGAAGGGGTTTCCAAATGTGGGGCTCTTCTTAATCCAACCCCGTATATAGTATATAATAATATATAATTTTTATAGGTATTGATGTATACAAGTTCTTATTGAGTTTTGTACGATATGTTTTTCCTAGGGAGATTCGCGCTCGAAGAATACATTTGCAACCGGAGATACAAGATACAAGATACAAGAAATACAAGTACGAGATACGAAATACGAGAGTATGCAGCTTGGGACGGTTTCTAGGTTCGTAAAGCGATCGACCGCACTAACGTGGGATGCCGACTAGTCGAGCGGGGTTCGGGTTTTCTTTAAAGAGATACAAGAATATATATAATTATATTATATATGCGCAGCTGCTAAACTCTGTTTAGGCTCTGCGATCTATGTACGTATATAGCCTTCCCCAGGAGCGGATAGCTTCCTAGTAGGGCTCGTCGGTCCCGCCGCTGGCGACTCCGCACTTGGAGCGGAGGATGGCTGCCAGTCGCTGGGTCAGTGGCTCTGTGGGGGACTCGGAGTCACTGCACGAGGCAGAGGGCACTTTGTTCCCTAAAACGAAAAAATGGTTTTTATTTCCAAATTATACTGAGAGCGATCAAATATCTTACCATTGCTCACGTCCAAATCAGCTGCCTGGTTTTCCTTGAGTCCAAAGTTCAAGCTGACAGGAACAATGTCATCCTCCTCCTCGAGCAGCAGGCTGGAGTACGAGTGCGTGGTGTTGTCGCTGCGACCGCTGCCTCCACTCGAGGAGTTTCTCGAGGATCCTGAATCATTGTGGGAATGGGGATGCGAGTGAGAGGGGTGGACGGGTAAGACGATGGGATCCTGCCCGGCGTCGTCGATGGGCAACTCAAAGTCATCGCCGCTGCTGCTGCTCTCCTGCTCGTCCTCGCCATCCATCACATCCACGTTATCAATCTCGTCGTCGCCCCACTCATTGTCCTCCTCAGAGCTCTCGCTGTCTTCGTCATCTGGCTCGCCGTCTCCATCGCAGTTCCCATCTCCATCCTCGTCGGCATCCGCCTCCACATCGGAGGGATGCAGATCTAGAGCCAGGTCGGGTGATGAAGATTTATTGTAGTTCTCATCGCTGTCGCTGGATGTGGGCACTGCGGCGAATGGATAAGGATTAATTAAGGGGACCTTTCACCGCCCGGTTAGACCTCACCTCCACGTAGCTTTTCCAGGATGAGGGGATAGAACTCTTTAGCCGTGGCGTTGTTGGGCTCGTACTGGAGAACTGGGGAAAGGAAAATGTACAGTGCACCTTGAAGAACATCCTTATTTATATTCCACTCACTTAATTTGCAGTATTTCAAAGCCTTTTTGTAATCCTTTAGCATCACCGCGGACAGGAACTGCAGGAGAAACAAAAACGCACAATGCAGTAGGTACTTTGTTTGCGAACGAACGCCATCAAATCCTTTTGAAATTCTCATAATATCTCAACAACAAAGGACGAGTCCCTCCTCCTCCACCAACGCCTACCCCTGATCCACTGGCCCACTTTGCAGGGCGGACAAAAAGTTGACTGTGCTCGAAAGTCGAATCCGCTCGAAAGCAATTTATTAGCAATCAATAATCCGGTCAAAAGCACTCGGCAGCGGAATCCTCCCTTTCAAAGGAGGACTTTAACTAAATCCGCAATCTCCGCTGGCATTGCAATTTGCATTTGCATAAGTTTCTTGTTTCGCCTTTGTCCTCCCGCCAAGAATCCTTTATCCCTTTTTGTTTATCTGAACTCATAAAAGTTGTGTCTGTCCCTGGACAAAAGGGTTTTCCATACTTAGCAAGTTGGCTAACAATATTCAAAGAGTTTCACATTTTATTTTGAGTCCAGCCCCCCGGAAGTGGTAATGATCTTAAGTTGAAATGGGGAAAGGGTTCCTTACCTCGGCCAAAAATTCTGTCGGTGCCGATATGCTTTCGTCGGCATCCGTGTATTCCGAGAGGCTCTGGCTGAGATCCTCGCTAGAAGCGGATGTGGGCATACCGGAAACGGAAGCAGCGGCCGCAGCAGCAGCTTCGTTCATTATGCTTATGTTGTTTGTGGCGGCCGTAGCTGCAGCTGCACCTGTTCCCGTTCCAGTTGTTCCAGCCTCGTTGTCCGTGTGGCCACTGCCATTCGGCTTCACCGCATAGACTCCATTGCCGTTGGACTTGTCCATGAATAGAAGCTGTCACAAATAATTTGTTGAGAATTTTTAAAATTTTTGAGAGGTGTGGGACTTAACTTACATTTGACATGATCTTGGGGAAATGTATCGCTCAATTTTTGTCCTTAGTTCAACATTTTTTGGAGCTAGCTGGAATGGGAAATAGAAACCAAACGAATTAGCATTTCAATGGATCTAAATGGGAGGGCTTCTGCAACATTGATTGCATCTGAACCCTGCGGCAAGGGCACCGATTGCGATGCATATCCCTAATTGGATTGCCCAACCTACGTCCTTTGCACAAGGAGTGTGGTTACTTCGTTAAATGTGAAAGGCCAAATGCTAATTTCACATCCGCTGCAGACATTTAGAGATACATTTAGAGGCTTTGAATAGATAGATAGATAGATTGCCAGATAAAACATCCTATAAGTTAGTTTCTATGGGCCTTCCTTTATCATTCAAATCCCCCTTATAATCTAGCAAGTGCTCCGCACAAAAAGCGAATCTGAACGTGGAGAGGGGGGAAGTCTCTTTTTGGCCAACTAGTTGAATAGGCCAACTCGACACGCAAACACATTTGCCGGCTTGCGAAAGCCAAGTGCGAGGAGTGAAAATGAGCGGAATTGTTGGCGTAGTTTGGCGGCAGTTTAATTGGCGAGCGACATGCACCACGCCTCGAGGTATGCCATGAATTTTTCGGTTATTTATGCATCATCTGCAGACAACTGCGGTGGCATCAGGAGGGGAGTGTGAGTGCGAATGTGTGCTATCTGCCTGCCACATTCAATAATCGAATGCACTCGAAGACCCGCAGGGTTCAAGGACTCGGGCCCGTCATTAAAGGCGATAAATTTGCTTTACTGCTCCGACAGGCGAATGATTTACTTAACTGCCAGACCACGACTCTGGTTGCAGTTGTCTTCGTTTGCTTTTGCAAAATCAATATGTATATATAGCCATAACTGACATGGCTTGTTTATTCCCCAAATGGCCCTTAATTGTTTTTTATGGCCATCACATTGAATTCTAATTGCTTGGCTGCCGGGCTGCCAGGACTGCTAGCCTGCCGACTCTGACGCTCCCGGTCATCTGTCAGTCAGTCTGCGACTTTTGTTTACCCATCGGTGTGATCCTTTCCCGTTTCTGGCATTTCCAAATGTCAGACGTGTCTGGCTGGTTCTGTCACGCAACTCCATCTTTTGTATCTGTATCTGTATCTGTGAGTTTTGCCATTTCGGCCCAGACATTTGCAACTTTGCAAGGTTGCGAAGAACATGTTGCGCGATGGAAAAGCTTTCAAAAACTACTTTAGACAACTCTGCCATGTGGCAGGCTTCTCATGGCGGGTTTCGTTTCTCTTCTTTATACTTTTAATGCACTAGCTTGGAGCAGCTCAATTAACACCAGAGATTGCCAAATTTCGGAAAAAGTTTGATTCTAAAGTTTGAAACTATCTAAAGCAGTTGGGAATCGTTTTGGTTTTCCTTCAGAAGATTTCCAGTCTTATTCAAAGTTGCTAAATATTTGGTAAATAATTAGTCACTTTCATTCGATATAGAATTAAATAAATTTAAATTCAATCATTCACTTTTCTCGAGATTTTCCCAGAGCGACAGCTGCACAAATTTCCAAGCTTGAAATAGAATCTGACGGGAAAACTTTTCCTACCACCAAACCGCAAACACTGGCCTGTGGCGTACTCGAATCATTTTCATTTGCATAATTAAAATGTCTACAGGAAAATCGAAATTCAATCGCAAAGCTGGCCACTCACCTGGCTCCCTTGGGCCGCAACCCTTTGGGTGAACTGAATTTAAAGCCAGCGAACCGGAAAGTTATGTATGTGCGGCTCTCGAATGTGGCCAAAACCCAGTCAGTGGTGTGTCCTGTATGCATGTATTGGTCTTGGGGTCAGATGGGGCAGTCCACAGTGCGGCAGAATTGCATAAAAAGTCATTTCTGGTACTGGTACTGCAATTCGACCGTCCAGCTAGCAAAACGCGGCGAATAATTTATAACAAACACTTAAATGCGACTGCGATACCGATTCCCCGGCCGGAACATTCGAATGTTTGCCAAATTGCCGGACCGTTGGGGCTTATTTAAGCCAAAACAACATGCAATATGTAGCGGCTTTTGGGTCCTGCCTGTCGCCTGCCAACAAATGTGCCAAAGCTGCAAAAGCCACCGAACCGAAGGTCCTTGCCATTGGCTGGGGGCACAGTTCGAGCCGTTAATGAGTTTTCCTTTTAATAAATTTAGGAGCCGACAACAGACGGTTTCAGCCATGGATGGACACGGAAAAAATGGTTTACTTTTAGAAATAATAAAGGTTAGGTCACTAACTGAAAACCCAAAGTCTATATTTTCTTATGTGTGTTTGTAGTGCAGCAGCTCAGTCGGAGGACTGTTTGCAAACTGCAATAACCATTCCCGGGGCCATAAGGGTCCAGTCCTTGCAAAGGACGTTGGCCAAATTGCTCGATTATAATGATCGTTCAGAAATGTGGTTATCGTTGGCTGCCTCTGTTGCAATTACGGTGCCGGCTCTTTAAGTGGCTGCCAAACTCTGCCTTGTTGCAGCATACCCTTTGAATCCCACACACAAATCCTTAGGGTACACCAATCAAAATGTAAGCCCATTCAAAGTTTTTTGAAGTACGACTCCCTGAATAAGACCTGAAATTCCTGTGAATGAATTACCAATCAGAGTCCGAAACTTTAAAGAACAATACCATTTAAGGTCTGAAAAATGTTCCTTCCGGAGGATATTCATTTCATGCTGCACTCTTTCTAAGGCTCATATTTTATAGCTCTGCGGCTATGAACATTTTTGGCAGAAAAACTTTCTGTAGAGCAAAACTTATCTATGGAATGTTTAATTTTCCCCGCCCTCGGTTTCGCCCTTTGAAAAGGGGGCAGGGCGAGCGACTGTTGTGGTCATTGGCTTCGGTATAATTACAATCGATATTGGGCTTTCAGGAATAGAGAATATGTACACCCTCTTTCGTGGGTCAGGTGCGGTTTAAATAGCCATCGGAGCGGCAAATAAGCAATTATGCTGAGTTAGATTCCTCTGCCGAGCTGGAATACGCGGCGTATGAGCAATATTGCTGGCAATATGAAAAGACCCAAACAATGCGGCTTTGCTGGGGAATTGTGCGCATTGTCAGTGCGTGGCTTTGGTTGTGGAATAATGCAGAGTGCCTAGAAAGTAATACATACTATATACACAGATAGAGGTACAAAGCACGAAGCACCCTTCATCACGGGGTTTTGTGTCGTCTAGATGCTCCAGCTTGTCTTCCAGCATTCATTCACTCTGGGCGCAAAAGTCGTCCAAGTGGTAATTAAAATTATACCCACAAAGCCCCAGGACCGACCTAAGTCTAAGATGAGGAGACTTCATACAGTACTGTGTGTGCATATAATGCCGTAGAAAGGGTTGACACAGAAAGCCTAGCGGAAGCATCACACATGCTAACAAGTTGCGAATAAAAAACACACAAACTTTGACATTTTGAAATATTTATGAGTGCCCGCCGTCTCGGCCCCAAAGATATCCTGGTGACAAGCCAAGAGGAGGCTGAAACAAAGCGTACTTGGTTGGCAATTGTCACGCACCAGACACCATATATGTAATATCTAAATGGAAACGTACGTATCTGGTCTTAAAGCGCTCTATGAGTCGAGCTAAAATTGATTTAAATCGTAGTAATTTAGTAATATTAACAAGGATTTAAAGATTGTCGCTAGGATTATATAAAAGTGCAACGCATCACCTACTTCATAATTTTCTACTTGTTATACGTTGCCCCAAGATCTGGCCCCTGAGAATTAAGGAGGTGGAAGCCCCATGCTCCAAGGAGAGTATGCACATGTAGGTGCCAAGTTGATCATTAAAACTGCGCCGCTGTGCAGAAAGTTTCGAGTACCTGGAAACCCTCGTGGGGCAAGCGTTGCCGCTTTCGAGTAGCAGAAATAAATACGTAAATAATTAAAATTTTTAAAAAAGCTCCAGCCAAAAGTGCACACAAATCCCACCATTAATTTTAAGGACGTTGACAGGCCAGCTTCACCTACCTTCAATTATTTACGAGCGGTGTCTCGGCAACCTGGTTAATGCATTTCCAGCCTCCCAGGGCAGTCCCAGGGTTAATTAGCAGTGGGTCTCCGCCCCCGAGACTCTGTTTTTTTTCTAAATGGATGATTTTCCGGAGCGGGCGACGAAAAACACTGATTGAAGCGGGACGCGTGAATTTTCCCAGGATTCTACGCAGTTGAAGCTGGCAATTGCTTCAGGACTTGCCTTTCTTGCTTCTGTTTACGCACACACGACAATGCCAGCTTTTGGTTATGACCAAGCAATACTATACTCAAAACCATTAATATCGAACAATATAAAGAATATTGGAAAATTCAATGACAAACTGTGAATTTAGACAATTTATTTAGCGTGAAATCGCAACTTTTGTAACTGTGGAGCTGAGAAAGTTTTTCCGCCTTTTAGCAACGCAGTTTCGCTTAATTAACAGAGTCGACGACTGAACGAATGTCCTTTTTATACACACTTGTTCGCTTTTACCTTGTCCAGGCGAAAGCTCCTTCTCTTCGCAAGTTTTCGCTCTAAAGCTCTTGTCCCCTTTTCGCCCAGGACTAAGGTATATACGTTTAAAGATCGTACGTGTTTTCCTCCATAAACAAATTTAAGAGAAATAATTTACTTATGATTAAAATAATTTCTTTTATATTAAACAAGAATGCTGAGATGAGATGTCTTTGATATGGTTTTTATTCAGAAAATGTTGAATAAGAATACTAAGAATAATCAGATCCTTAACTGGAATAGCTTACAGGGATTCTAAATAAACGGGGATTTATTAGCTATTTCTTATCCGATTTAAAAATGAAATACTATTAATGAATCAGAGCTTCAAGCCAAATGTTGTTGTCAAAATTATAATGGTACCCATTTGAAAAATTATTGGAAAATTGCGTTAAAATATTTGTTGGCAGTTTTTGATGGAATCGGAGAAGACTATATTTTTATTAAGAACCATTAAACGGTGTTACCTTAAAAGGAACTACGAGTCGATCCACACATTAACCTTTTTTTTTGTAATATTTTAAGGTCTTAGGAATGAATAAATCGCTATCCCAGTTGATTTTCTATCCCAAAGTGATGGCGCTTCAATTTTTTAAACATTTTAAAAACCTATGTAGATGTCCTGTTTTAGTGATTTATAAAAGCTTTTTGCGGCGAATTAAAAGGTTTTTTTGTGCTTTAAGCTGGGAGAAAAGTTACAGAATGTTAAAAAGAGCAAAACGAAGCGTCCTGAGCGAAGCCGGAAATCCTTTTGGCCAGAACCGATGCGGCCTGCTTGATGCCATGTCGTCTGCTTGCATTTGAATCTGTGTACGTTTCTGCGTGCGAGTTTTCTAGGTTCATGCATTCAGCAGATGGCAAGTGGCAATGAGCCGACGGAAAGTCAGCTGGGAAAAATACTACGCATCGTGAGCGGGATTAGGAGATGCCGGTTTAGTGAAAATATCCATGAATATATGTATGTGTGTGAGGGTGGGGACTTCAATGTGGGTGGAGAACCCGTGAATGCATGTGTGTCCTCCAGTGCCGGAAGTCAGTGGCAGCTGGATTCGGAATATTTGTGGGGGTTTGTTTTTAGCTTTTCAGCATTTTTCTGCCACATTAAGTTAATACTCTTTGATTACATGATTTATCACTTTGATTATCCATCCCTGTTTATTCATATTATATTCCGGAAACCCTAATTAAATAAAACTATCAACTCAAACGATTTAATTTCTGTGTGCTCATGCTCCCCACGGAGCACACAAAACGTGTTTAACAAAAAAAGGAAACTGTTGCAAGGTTCTGCCATTTCTAGTTTTCCTTTTGTTTGCAGAGCAGTCTGAAAAGCCGCCTTTGTCAGCAGGTTTCCTCTGGACGCATAGTTGAATCCAAAAAAGGTGAAAATTTACGTTGACAGTTTGAATCCTATTTTGCGTGTAGGGGGATTTTGAAAGCTTTTATGTGGCCCTAGCATCCAGCCTCCACATTTTATTTGGTTAAGGTGCTTCTTGCGTACATATATGTTTGTACATATATTGAAACATACTATTACACATACTATTACATTTAACTTTTTTTATAATAATAATAATTTAGGTAGTTTCAGGCGACTACAGAATTTTGACCATCTATTTTTCATCCGTTAACTTAGAAGTTGCTTAATGTCTTGGATATATTTTAAATGTATCCTTCTGAATCTTTACAAGCTTTCCGGCATCTCAATCATCTTGGCGACCTGTGTTAAAGCCTGAAAGCCCAGCCAAAAATGATTGAGATTTCCAAGTGAATTACGAGTTAAATGCGAGTATTACATGGATTAGCAGCCGTTTATTTGATTTTGTGTTTAGTGTTGAAAAGCGGCATAACCTGCTTAGGGTGAGGTGTTCGCAAACCGCTAGAGGACGCCGCACAAGCCACAAACTTTAACAACCACATCTTTGAACTGATAATGTGGTTTTAAAAACTGAAGATACATATTTTAAAATGGCAAAAGAATCATAAATAAAATGTAAATTTAATTTTATTTGCGATTTACGTTTTTGGTTTTTCTTGAATTTTGGGAACCGTTTCACATCCGGATGGTTGTTTTCTCGGCTAATCGCTGTGGAACTTGGCTAAACGCCAGTAGTCATTCTTGGCCACACTACTTACCAAACACACGTAAAAACGTGTGATATTATTATTAACATTTAAATAATTATGTCGGCGCAGTACCAGAGGTTTTTGAAAGTACTCGAAAAGTGGCCAGCGGATAAATCGAAAGCCGGCAGGTGAGTAAGGAGTAGAAGACACACCTGCAAGGCGGCAATGTTCGTTCCTGGGCGCTCAGATTATCTAACCAGCGGTTTTGTGTAAATTTCTTTAATAAAAAGAACATGCTATTGGTTAAAGATAGTTTTTTAAGTTAAAATGTCTTCTGGATGTCCATATCCTCCATCCACAATAGGCTTTTTAGATATCCTAGTTTTGGAGCCTATTTGCTCAAGATATTTTGTCCCGCCAAGTCAGTGTGGTAACGTAAGATACGAACTTTACGTTACGCGTAACTTGAGTTTCACGTCAGTAATAAATCTTGGCTTAAATAATTGGGCCCTTAGTGTATTGGTAGCTTTCAGAACGTCCAGTTTAGTTTTTGTTTTAGCAGCAGCATGGCTTCCAAGTTTGTGTACCAATTAGAGCCGGAAGAATTCATTTTGGGAGATGGCTCAGATCTGTAAGTTCGTTTATTTCAATCAGGATGTAGGACTATAATGTCGATATTTTTTAAATTTTCGCCAATTAGTACATCCAATTTATGTATTATTTTATATTTTGTAATAATGGAAACTTGAGAAACCTACGACCAACTTCACCTAGACATATTTTCAATAAACTTGACGTTAATCTTTTGTTGGACGGCTGATGGATTCTTGGAATCCAAAGACTGGTGTTTTCCTGGAAATGTATGCAATTCCGCTCCAGTTGCACTGCCTGGAACGAACATCCGCCACACAAACAGTACCACATGGCCAACTGCATTAAAAATTGTTTTCTTTAATCCAATTTCAAAGGGATCTCGGCGAGCAGATCCGCAAGCAGGTGACAAAGCTGACGACCAGCCTCGAAGGCGGTGCCACGAATCAGGAGCTGGATCTTCAGATCGGAGCTCTCGAAAGGCTGTCGAGTAACGTCTACATCCGGAAGTATCCGCGCACATTCGATTCTACGGCGACAGGCTTGACCGCGGCACAGTGCAACCAGGTCTTAAGCTCCGAGTTCCTGCAGTATCTGAACGAGGGCTCAAAGAAGTAGTGGCAGCGCGAAGATGAAACGACTCCTAATACCGACTAGACTGAGGCACGTCCAAAGACGAAACAAAGCGGAGGCGATTGCAGCAGCGCCTCCCCAAGCACCCCATGTTCCCGTGCTCTGCGACACTGCCATTGAACATCTTCAGCCCGTACCAGGAGGCACCTACATCGACATGACCTTTGGAGCTGGGGGCCACACCAGACGTATTTTTGAAAAGTGTCCTGAGGCGAAGGTCTATGCATTGGATCGTGATCCAGTGGCCCACCAGCTGGCAAGGGAACTGTGCCAACAGGAAAAGTACAAGGGCAGACTGATTCCATTGCTGGGAAAGTTCTCGGATATACCAAAGCTATTTGAGGAGCATGGCCTCTCCAGGAACTCGGTAAACGGCGTACTGTTCGATTTCGGCTGCAGCTCAATGCAGTTCGATGAGGCTGAAAGGGGGTTCTCCATTTCCAAGGACGGTCCGTTGGATATGCGCATGGATAAGGGCCACAGTGGCGGAGTGACTGCCGCCGAAGTGTTGTCTAAAATAGAAGAATCCGATTTGGCTCGAATCCTCAGGATCTATGGCGAGGAAAAGGCCGCCAAGAAAATAGCCCGCGGGTTAATAGACGCCCGCAAAGCCCTCGTACAAATTGAAACCACAAAACAGCTAGCGGACTTGGTGGAGGATATTCTATCCACCGGCCCGAGGAGGGATAAGCTACAGAGGCCCTCTCACTCGGCCACAAAGACCTTTCAGGCCCTTCGCATCTTTGTCAACAACGAGCTAAACGAGATCAACTATGGCATGGTTTTGGCTAACGAAATCCTCCGCCGCGATGGCCGACTGGTCACCATTACCTTCCATTCACTGGAGGATACCATTGTCAAACGTCACATCAATGGCAACGTTGTGGCCGGTGCCGCCAACCCCTTGCCCCTCAAGTATTCTGGACACGACATCATCGACGACCCGGAGATGCTGGAATCCCTAGTCCAAACCAATTGGAAGCCGCTTCACCGTCATGTCATCGTCCCAGATGCCGAGGAGGTAGCCCGGAATAGCAGGAGTCGCTCCGCCAAGCTGAGAGCAGCCGTCAAAGTAAACTGAAAGAGCACGTCAATAAAATTCCTCAGTCTAGTCCAGATTCCCCCAATCTCTATAGTTTTCTCTCTAAACAATTTTTGGGAGTTTTGGTTATCTGCCCAACCAATTGGCACCTTCTGATAAGGACTGGTTTATCTATTTTTCGGAGCTATTTGTGTGTTTCCCGTGCAGAGTTGTTTGGCTGCGCGGCTCAGTTTTGTTTAGTTAGATTAGGAAATTGCTGTTAATTGTCAGGTAGAGCAGTGCTTCGGCACAGTGGTTCTCAATATTAGACTCTTAAAGAATAGATTTTGAGGTTGAAGCCTCAGGAGGGGACTTAAAAAGACGAGGGTCTCAATAGATTTTGGAACATTTTTTTATTTACAATCTTTTTAGTGGAATAGTTCCAATGATTTATGAACTCGTTGAACTCTCGAGTACTTTGTTGCTCCGGCTATCAGTTTCGACTGATTTGATATGGAAATTTTACCACCCATTTTCCACAATTGCTGCCATGGTCTGCCACCTGTGGTTGGATTTTCTCTTCTGGAAGAGATGGATTGGATGTTGCGGCCTTTAGAGCCACGGCTGACATACGTCAGACGGTGTTGTTTACGGTTGCCAATCGAAAGATGTGTGTGACCCGCGAGAAATCCGAAACCGATAATCTGGAAGAGGGCGCTGATAAGAGAGTGGGATTAAAAAGTGGCCGGAAGGGGGGGAACAGAGCGGTGTACCTAGGCTATAGATAGGGGTTCCCTCGGGGCGGGCCGCTCAGTTGCCTTGCGCGATCCGAGCGAGTTGGCGTGGCTATTGAGGCGGAGGAGTTTACGGGTCTTTCGAGCTGAGTTATTTACGGGTTCTTTTTTCAGCGGTGAGCGGAGTGAAAAGCCGGCGATCAGGATGAGCGAGGCGAAGATCATATCGGGCACAGCGGTAGCCAAGTGAGTGAGAAGGAACACAGCCACGACATATCCTTTCATTCATCCGTCTTCCCATCTCAGATTCATCCGCGAGTCTCTACGCAGCGAGGTGGCGGCAATGGCGAGCCAGTCTAAGGGCTTCGCTCCAGGCTTGAGGATCGTTCAAGTGGGTGGCCGCGAGGACTCCAATGTCTACATTCGGATGAAGATAAAGGCGGCCACCGAGATCGGAATCAATGCCGTCCACGTTCAGCTGCCCCGCTCCATCACCGAAGTGGAGCTCCTCGATAAGGTGAGTGCTATTATGCAATGGGAACTGATATGTATGTATATTTTCAAGCATTCCTAATGGTCTTAAATGGAAGACAGTTTTCAAAGTAAAAAATATAGAATCTTATGTTTATCTTAAGTTTCCCAACTGAGGTATTAATCCCAGTACTTATTACCTCAAACTGATAAGTATTTCCTAACTTTGTTTTCAGATCAGCGACCTAAACGACGACCCGCAAGTGCATGGAATCATCGTTCAGATGCCCCTGGATAGCGAAGCCTCTATCGACTCGCACCGCATCACGGACGCCGTGTCCCCCGAAAAGGATGTGGATGGCTTGCACACGGTCAACGAAGGACGACTTGCTATCGGCGATCTCGGTGGATTCCTGCCTTGTACCCCCTGGGGCTGTTTGGAGTTGATCCGCCGATCGGGCGTGGAGATAGCTGGGGCCAGAGCCGTGGTCCTGGGTCGCAGCAAGATAGTCGGCACACCAGCGGCGGAGCTCCTCAAGTGGGCCAACGCCACGGTGACAGTGTGTCACTCGAAAACTCGTAACCTGGAGGAAATAACCCGGAGTGCTGATATCCTGGTCGTTGGCATCGGCGTAGCTGAGATGGTCAAGGGATCGTGGATTAAGCCCGGAGCTGTGGTAATTGATTGTGGCATCAATGTAAAGCCGGGTAAGTGCAAAAGAAGCCTCCATTTGTCTAGTCCATCTGACCATCCGAGAAACTTCAATCACTTCCATTATGAAATCTAAAGCAGTTCAATGGCAGCTGCAGTTACTAGGTCCATAACTTTGGTGCATCTCAGCCATGCCAATTGTTTACCGATCCCTCTATTCCTTATCATTTGGGATGACCTCTTGAGAGGCTTGCCAGCCCCATTCCAGATAAGAAATTGTTTTGAGATTATTTTAAAAATGGTTCAAATCTCGAAAGTCAGTTTGGGAACAGCTCCCGACCGGAGCGAACCGATCCGCATTCTGTGCCTAATGCCTTAAGTTTGATCTATTCCGATCCCCTCCAGACTCGACCAAGGCCAGCGGCACCCGCTTGGTGGGAGACGTCGACTACGAGCAGGCTCGCTTGGTAGCTGGACACATCACACCCGTGCCCGGTGGCGTGGGTCCCATGACGGTGGCCATGCTGATGAAGAACACAGTAACATCAGCGTCCCGGTCGCTGGAGCGTCTTTCCAGGACGCTATGGTCTCTGCAGCCACTGCCCCTGAAGCTCCAACGCCCAGTACCCAGCGACATTGAGATCGCCCGGGCCCAGAAACCCAAGGACATTGCCTTGCTTGCCAAGGAGATTGGTTTGGAACCGCGAGAGGTGTCCCTGTATGGAAACAAAAAGGCCAAGATCTCGCTTTCTGTTCTGGAGAGGCTGAAGAACAACGAGGTGGGCAACTATGTGGTGGTTGCCGGCATGACGCCCACTCCCTTGGGGGAAGGCAAAACTACCACGCTTATGGGCTTGGTTCAGGCCCTTGGAGCCCACAAACGCCGAAACACCATGGCTGCCCTGCGACAGCCTTCCCAGGGTCCAACCTTTGGAATCAAAGGCGGCGCTGCCGGCGGTGGATACTCCCAGGTCATTCCCATGGAGGAGTTCAACCTGCACTTGACGGGAGACATCCATGCAGTGTCGGCAGCTAACAACCTCCTGGCCGCCCAACTGGACACCCGCATCTTCCACGAGAGCACCCAGAAGGACAAGGCCTTGTACGATCGTCTGGTGCCGAAGGTCAAGGGAGAGCGCAAGTTCAGTGCCATCCAGCTCAGGCGTTTAAAGAAGCTGGGGATCACCAAAACCGATCCGGACTCGCTGACTGAAGAGGAGTACGGTGCATTCGCCCGTCTGGACATCGATCCGGACACCATCATGTGGGAGCGAGTCGTGGACATCAATGACAGGTATCTGAGAAGTGTGACTGTGGGACAGTCGCCCACGGAGAAGGGCATTTCGCGAGGCACCAGCTTCTCCATCTCCGTGGCCAGCGAGATAATGGCCGTGTTGGCCTTGTCCCGCTGCCTGGAGGACATGAAACGGCGCTTGGCTGACATGGTAGTGGCCTTCAGCAAATCTGGGCAACCTGTGACTGCGGACGACCTCGGTGTTACGGGGGCTCTGGCTGTGCTCCTGAAGGACGCCCTGGAACCGAATCTGATGCAATCCCTTGAAGGCACGCCCGTCCTGGTTCATGCCGGTCCCTTTGCCAACATCGCCCACGGCTGCAACTCGATCATCGCCGACGAGATTGGACTGAAGTTGGTCGGGAAGGATGGTTTTGTTTGCACGGAAGCCGGATTCGGGTCAGACATAGGCATGGAGAAGTTCTGCAACATCAAGTGCCGCACTTCGGGCCGCAAGCCCAACGCCATGGTTCTGGTGGCCACCGTGAGAGCCATCAAGATGCACGGCGGTGGTGCTCCTGTGACAGCGGGAGCTCCGCTCAACAAACAGTACACCGAGGAGAACCTGGAGCTGGTGCAGAAAGGCCTGCCTAATCTTCTGCAGCACATCTCCAACGGAAAGGCTTTTGGCATGCCTGTGGTAGTCTGCATAAACGCCCACGGGGCGGACACTTCGGCGGAGCACGAGCTGGTGAAGAAGGCAGCTCTGGAGGCTGGCGCCTTTGCTGCAGTAGTATCCACCCACTGGGCGGATGGAGGAGCTGGCGCCGTGGAGCTGGCAGAAGCCGTAATCAAGGCCAGTTCGCTGGGAAACCAGTTCAGACTACTCTACGAGCTGGAGCTGCCGCTGGTGGAAAAAATGAACAAAATAGCCACCACGATGTACGGAGCTGGGCAGGTCAAGCTGTCACCGTCGGCCGAGGAAAAGGTCAAGCGGCTGACGGAGGCGGTAAGTGGTTCTGGACATAATTATTTTTAGAAGGTTCTCTAATATTTATCCATTTTTTAGGGATTCGGAAACTTGCCCATCTGTATGTCGAAGGTATCGGGCTCTTTTACGGGCGACGCCAAAATCAAGGGCGCCCCTCGAGACTTCACCCTGGACATCGAGGATGTGTACGTTTCCGCCGGAGCCGGTTTTGTAGTGGCCATGTGCGGAGAAGTCACCAAAATGCCAGGCCTTCCCACCCGCCCGGCTATTTACGACATTGACCTGAACACCGAAACTGGCCAAATCGAGGGTCTGTTCTAGGTCTGGAGAGGGATGGAGGACATGGCAGGCGTATCGAGGATCATTCCCAATAAAAATTCATAAACATAGCTATAGATTTTTTAAATATTACAAAGCTCCTTTATATATATCTACCCATAGGTTTTAAAAGTAGAATTGGCTACCAAAACGGAAGGATAAATAAAGTCCTGAGAATGCTGGGCATGAACGCGTTTTTATTGGTATAAATATATGTCTATGTAGAAGATCACATAGAAATATGGGTATATCGCCCTCAAATAATCGAAAAGGCCTACAACGTCTCCTCTGTGAGGCTATCCTTTTTACGGATTTTGGCCATAATCCGGAAGTAGCGGGCGATAATCTGATCCACGGTCGGACCGTCGGATGTGCTGGCCAGCTCCTTCTCGCAGCGGGACACCACGTTGGTGAGAAGGCCGCCGGAGCGGTAGAACTGAATGGTTAGGTCCCGCTTGACCCATTTGATAATCAGATGGTGGCTGGCAGTCTCAAACTCGTTTTTGATCTCGTAAAAGTGCTCCAAGTACTCGCTCATCTTCCGAACGTTGGCTGCTCCGATCTTCGGGATCTCCAAATAAGGACGCCGGATGATGTGGTAGGGATCGTACTTCTCCGAAAAGTTCCACCACCGCACAGCGGGCCAGTCCAGTTGCAAGATGGTGTTGTAGAGCTCCTTTGGGTGTCCCAGAATTCCATGAGCCACGTCAATCAGGCGCAGCTGCGATCCGGGAACTATATATTCCAGCTCCATCTCGGCAATACGTTGGTTTGTGCCGCGATACATTCTACGCCCGATCCAAAGAATCGGCAAGTTCTCCTCGGTGACCAGCTCCAGCTCCTGAATAAGAGGCGACAGCTGGGCCCGGTAATTCAAATTCTTTTTGTTTTTCCCGTAGAGCAGACTGCGCTCCGCGGCTGTGTAGTTTGTGTACTCCGGGCGGATGAACACAAAGTGCTCCGATCGAAACAGACGATTCATTTCCATCTCGATTATGAAATAGGCCCGCCGGTGCATGCAAATCCAAACCATCTGGATGGCTGAAGCCAGAAACTGTTCGTGGAAAGCCTTGTCGGCAATGGTGGCCGATATATTAGAGACCTCCTTCATGTGGTAGAACTCCCCCATGCTGCCCTCGCCCTTGATGATCTCGCAGTAGTTGCGGGCCACCAAACTGCGGTATTGGCTCAGATAGGTCGAGTAGTTCTGCTTCATCTCGTTGGTCTGGGCGCTCTGGATCTGGGCCATCTTTCCTGAGATCTCGTCGCGCCGGATCATGACGAACTCCACCATGCGCAGAAAGTACTCGAAGTAGATGATCAGCGAGTGGACGAGGTTGTATACTTGTTGGGTGTGCATGAACTTAATGAATTTATAGGAAATAAACTCGGACGGCATCGAGTACAGCACCAGGTCACGTATGTCATCGAGGATCACTGTGTCGCCGTCGAAAGTGCTGGTGGCCCGCATATAGTCCTGCCGAAAGATCAGCTCCTCCTCCTGATCTAAGGTGCGTAGAAACTTGAACCCGTTGGTCAGCACGTAGCGCTCCCTAGCATTCTCCAAATCATTGTGCGGTTCAAAGTGGAGGGCATCCTTTTTCGAGTCCCATGACCACTTGCCACTGTAGTATTTGGGGGCGTAGTTGTCCACATGGATACGCTTCATTGCTACCGTTGTGGGATCTGCTCAACGATCCTTGCTGGGTTGACTTGTGTAGGAAGTTTATTAATGTAGTTCGGGTTTGGATGATTTTAAATCATCATCTACTAGAAGAATACTACCGACAAGCTTCCAATCCTGGAGAGAGTTATTTCAAAGGTATTTCGTTCCCAATTTTGAATTTTTGATTTGGTTTGTTCCTATTTTATCGTCTGAAACTGTACAGCATTATTTATTTTGTCAGGAAAACCACTCACGCAAGAGGCTTTTTCCGGATTGTCTCCGATCAAAAATTCAGTTAGCCGGAGGAGGTGGAGTCCAGCTACCACTTTCCCGGATACTGACTAACCGACAAACATGTTCCCTCGCAACATTGCTCACCCGGTGATACGGCAGTTTATTCTACGCACCGCAGTGCTCAATTATCTGAGCAAGTGTCTGCAGCAGCAGTGGGATGACTGGCGAAAGCTCAGCAGGAGCATCCTCATTTTCGCTGAAGCTGGAGATTTGCATCAGACGCAGGCCCAGTTAATTGAGGCGCTGAAGTCAAGGGTCGCTGCATCGCACTGGCTTTTGCAGCGAGAATACGACCAACTGTTCGCGTACATGATGGACAAGCACGAGCTGTGGGACAGTCCGGAGTACTTCAAGGCAAAAACGGCCTTGGGGATGGCCGTGCAAAACCTGCGAGTGTGTTCACCAAGCAAATGACTTAGGACGGTTGCCAACAACTTCATATTTCACTTTCAAATCGTATATACATAAACAAAGTGCAAAAACTATTCTGCTACTGAACTATTTGTAGAAGGGTATCTCAACGCGACCTGACTTGGTATTTACCGCTTCCCAGCAGGTGCAGGAGAAGGTGGATCTGTCCATGTGGTCGGTGTAGAGCTTTCCATCCAGGTGGTCCATCTCATGCTGAGCGATTCTCGCATTCCATCCCGTCAGTTCTAATTCACTCTGGACTCCTTTGGCATTTAACCCACTAATTGAGACCCCTTCAAAGCGCTCCACTTCGGCGGAAAAGCCCCTGACGCTCATGCAGCCCTCGGGATGCTTGAGTTTGGTGTAACTCGTCACTGTTAGCACGGGATTGATGAAGACCTGTATAATTATGAAATTAGGTTTTAAATCAATTATATTTCAATTTCTTTCCCACCGTAAGCGGCAATTCGGTCATCTGTCGCGCCTGATAGACGGCTTCTGGTAGCTCCTTTCGGATTCCTCCTTTGAACTCCATCGCTATAATCCGCAGGGAGACTCCAATTTGAGGTGCTGCTATTCCCACACAGTCGAACTTCCGGAGAACTCGGACCATCTGTTCAACAATGGCCTCGATCTCGGGGCTTTGGATGTGCTCTTGGGGAACTGGAGCAGCCTTTTGTCGGAGTACGGGATCGCCAATTTGGGTAAAATGGCTGTAGGGCGGCAGGTTCGTGCGTTCCGGTGCCCACAGCTTTTGGTACCATTTCTGAAAGGATTGGGCGGACGCCGTACTTGTAGACACATTTCGGCGTTGGGCCAAGATGTTTTTGGCCAGGTTTACTTGTTGCTTAAGCAGCATTTTATTCTACTTCATTTATTATTATTATTATCTTGTATTTGTTATCATGCCGTAAGAGTTCCGTACCATCTGACCGGCTAGAGAAGGCAAAGCAAAGTTATCGAAATCTCGATAGTATTTTGAAAATTGGATTTTTCCCGCCCAACCAAGAAGTACAAAAGTTTGTTCTCCCCAATTTTAAAAAACTTTTAGAGCTTTATAAAAATTTTAATTTCTTTTTAATTTTTAAAAGGATGCTTTATTTTATTAAGTTCAAATGCCGCAAAATTACAATAAATTCTTTAAGAATGGAAGCATTAGGTATTTTACTTGTGAAACCAAAGAGCCGAGCGACCCTCGGCGGCGTTGATCTGCTCCCAGTTGACACATTGAAACGTGGACGCGTCCATGCGGTCCACGTAGATGCAACCGTTGAGGTGATCCGTTTCGTGCTGGGCGATCCTGGCATTCCAGCCCTCGAGCTCCATTTCGGAGGGCGTGCCCAGCTTGCCGACTCCTCGAACGCGGACCTTATCAAATCTTCCCACCTCCGCCGAGTATCCGCGAACACTCATACAACCCTCGGGATGTGTGTTTATCTGGCCACTGACTATCTCCAGCTCGGGATTAACAAAGACCTGAATGCACATAATTATATGGGGGATAATTAAAAATATATGTATATGTAATAGACCCAGATGCAGTCGCTAAAATATTGTCTTTCGGTAACGCTTTTATCTGAAATCTACAAAGTCTTTTTAGAATTAGATTCTAGATTGACAAAACAAGTTTAGAGGCTGAGAATTCTTGATTGCGTTCATGTAAATATAGAAACTATCAGATATAACTTACGGCCAAAGGCAGTGTGGACATTTTACGCTCCTCGTAAATCTCCGGCTTGTACTGCTCCCGTTTTCCCTCACGGAACTCCATGACGATAATGCGCAATGGTATTCCAATTTGTGGCGCCGCCACCCCAACACAGTCGTAGTGACGTAACACTTTCACCATGCGATCTATAATCTGATCGATTTCTGGCGAATCAATGCGCTCCTCCGGAACCTCCTCAGATCTTTGCCGGAGGACTGGGTCCCCGATTTGGGTGAAGTAGCGATATGGCGGATCGGACATGTCGGACCTGGGAAGCTCCAACCTGCACCAGATCTCTTGAAAAACTAATTTGAGTGTTCTCGAGCCGACTGGTAGTTCGGGGCAAGAGCCTTATCTTCGGAACAGCTGTCCGATCGTATCGCACAGTGAGAGCCAACAATTAATATTCCATGATGTTACATATTAGAGAATCAGATGAGAATTGGGGAAAATATAGCCATCACTGTGGACCCTATAGGGGACAACCGCATTTTGTGGGATCCCATCACGAAAAATGGACAAAAAATTTCAAAAATATTTTGTCTCAGGATTTTAATGCAGAATGGTGGGGAATCGATCTAGAAATCGTTTAAGGTACTCCGCTTGAGAATGGGATGAGAATTGGGGAAGATATAGCCATCATTGTGGACCCTATAGGGGAAAACCGCATTTTCAGGGAATCTCATCACGAAAAATGGACAAAAAATCTCAAAAATAATTTGTCTCAGGATTTTAATGCAGAATGGTGGGGAATCGATCTAGAAATCGTTTAAGGTACTCCGCTTGAGAATCGGATGAGAATTGGGGAAGATATAGCCATCACTGTGGACCCGATAGGGGAAAACCGCATTTTCAGGGATCCCATCACGAAAAACGGGCAAAAAATCTCAAAAATATTTTGTGTCAGGGTTTTGATGCAGAATGGTGCGGAATCGATCTACAAATCGTTTAAGGTACTCCGCTTGAGAATCGGATAAGAATTGATGAAGATATAGCCATCACTGTGGACCCTATAGGCGAAAACCCCATTTTCAAGGGAGCCCATCATGAAAAATGGACAAAAAATCCCAAAAATATTTTGTGTCAGGGTTTTGATGCAGAATGGTGCGGAATCGATCTACAAATCGTTTAAGGTACTCCGCTTGAGAATCGGATGAGAATTGGGGAAGATATAGGCATCACTGTGGACCCTATAGGGGAAAACCCCATTTTCAAGGGAGCCCATCATGAAAAATGGACAAAAAATCTAAAAAATATTTTGTCTCAGGATTTTGATGCAGAATGGTGGAGAATCGATCTACAAATCGTTTAAGGTACTCCGCTTGAGAATCGGATAAGAATTGATGAAGATATAGCCATCACTGTGGACCCTATATGGGAAAACCCCATTTTCAAGGGAGCCCATCATGAAAAATGGACAAAAAATCTAAAAAATATTTTGTCTCAGGATTTTGATGCAGAATGGTGGAGAATCGATCTACAAATCGTTTAAGGTACTCCGCTTGAGAATCGGATAAGAATTGATGAAGATATAGCCATCACTGTGGACCCTATATGGGAAAACCCCATTTTCAAGGGAGCCCATCATGAAAAATGGACAAAAAATCTAAAAAATATTTTGTCTCAGGATTTTGATGCAGAATGGTGGAGAATCGATCTACAAATCGTTTAAGGTACTCCGCTTGAGAATCGGATAAGAATTGATGAAGATATAGGCATCACTGTGGACCCTATAGGGGAAAACCCCATTTTCAAGGGAGCCCATCATGAAAAACGGACAAAAAATCTAAAAAATATTTTGTCTCAGGATTTTGATGCAGAATGGTGCGGAATCGATCTACAAATCGTTTAAGGTACTCCGCTTGAGAATCGGATAAGAATTGATGAAGATATAGCCATCACTGTGGACCCTATATGGGAAAACCCCATTTTCAAGGGAGCCCATCATGAAAAATGGACAAAAAATCTAAAAAATATTTTGTCTCAGGATTTTGATGCAGAATGGTGGAGAATCGATCTACAAATCGTTTAAGGTACTCCGCTTGAGAATCGGATAAGAATTGATGAAGATATAGCCATCACTGTGGACCCTATATGGGAAAACCCCATTTTCAAGGGAGCCCATCATGAAAAATGGACAAAAAATCTAAAAAATATTTTGTCTCAGGATTTTGATGCAGAATGGTGGAGAATCGATCTACAAATCGTTTAAGGTACTCCGCTTGAGAATCGGATAAGAATTGATGAAGATATAGCCATCACTGTGGACCCTATAGGGGAAAACCCCATTTTCAAGGGATCTCATCATGAAAAATGGACAAAAAATGCAAAAAAAATTTTGTCTCAGGATTTTGATGCAGAATGGCGGGGAATTGATCTAGAAATCGTTTAAGGTATTCCGCTTGAAAATCGGATGAGAATTGGGGAAGATATACCCATCACTGTGGACCCTATAGGAAAAAACCCCATACTTTTGGGGAAATTTTCCCTGGGAGTTTTTCCTGGGGAAACCCGAGTATATGTTCAATTAACTGTTCAAGTTTAAAATTTTAAAATTTTCAGTTTTTTATATATTTGTGCACATTTATTTATATAGCGGCGTGTTTTTTTTGACAACATTCAACAAATCTCATTTAGCTCTAATGGAAGACAGCAAACGAAAGCAATGGCTTGAGGCATATTGGACTTCAATCGTACTTGAGGTTACCCATGCAGATGTACTTGATATCCACGTAGTCGTCGATACCGTGCTTGGATCCTTCCCGACCTACTCCAGACTCCTTGACTCCTCCGAAGGGCGCCTCGGCGGCAGAGATGATGCCCTCATTGACACCCACCATGCCCACTTCAAGTCGCTTCGCCACCCGGAATACCTGTTGAAGATTCTCGCTGTAGAAGTAACCAGCCAGTCCACGCCGAGTGTCGTTGGCCTTTTGTACGGCCTCCTCTTCGTCTCGGAATCTAATGATCGAGACAACAGGTCCGAATACCTCCTCCGTGTACAGCTTAGCCGTGCTAGGTACATCTGTGATTATGGTAGGAGCATAGAAAAGCGATCCTACGTCGGTAAGAGGTTTTCCGCCGGTCAAGACAGTAGCTTTTTTATCCCTGGCGTCCTCCACAAAGCCACTAACTTTCTTAAACTGCATTTCATTGATCAGTGGTCCGATTTGGACATCGCATCCCTCACCGTTTCCAATCTTTAACGCCTCCACACGCTTCTTCAGCTGTTCCACAAACTTGTCGTAGATGCCATCCTGGACAAAGAATCGATTGGCAGACACACAGGTCTGGCCACAATTCCTGAACTTGGAGGCCATCGCTCCATCCACGGCTTTTTCGACATTAGCCGAATCGAAAACAATAAACGGAGCATTGCCCCCCAGTTCCAGGCAAACCCTTTTGATGCCATCTGCGCAGTTTCGGAACAGCAGTTTTCCCACCTCTGTAGAGCCTGTGAAGGATATGCCACGAACATCAGGACTCTTGCAAAAGAGGTCGCCCATTGGAGCTGCCTTTTTAGTGGTCACCACATTAATGACGCCTTTTGGGATGCCAGCATCCTCTGCCAATTTGGCTACAGCCAGGGCCGTTAGTGGAGTATCTTCTGAGGGCTTGACCACCACCGTGCAACCAGCAGCCAAGGCGGCTCCTGCTTTCCGGGTAATCATTGCCATTGGAAAGTTCCAGGGCGTAATCAGAGCAGCCACACCAATGGGCTGTTTCATTACTATAATCTCCCTGTTGGGTGCCGCACTGGGGATAATCTCGCCGTAGATGCGACGCGCCTCCTCCGCAAACCATTCAACGAAAGAGTTGCCATAGGCCACTTCTCCTTTAGATTCGTTAATGGGCTTACCCGACTCGGCCGTCATTATCTCGGCTATCTCCTGAGAATTCTGCTCGATGAGCTTGTGCCACTTCTGCAACGGGAGATAACATTATCAGGGGTGGTGATAACAGAATATTAGGGATTTGAGAAAGCACTAAACAAACTTTTGGAGTTCTCTTATCAGAAGGTATCACTCACCTTTAACAGATTGGAGCGATCCTTTGCAGTGAGCGAACGCCACTCCTTGGACTCGTAGGCCTTCTTGGCAGCATCTATGGCTTTTTGGGCATCCGCGACGGTCATGTTGGGCACCGATCCAATCACCGCTCCATTGGCAGGGTTCAGCACCTCAAAGGTGTCGCGATCACTGGATTCCACCCAAGCGCCATCCACCAGGCCCTTGCTTTGGACCAGAGCCGAAAAACTGCGCATCCTGCCGAAGTTGAGTCCTCTTCGTAGTGCGACGCCACCGAATTGTCGCAACATTCTGCCGGCTGAAAAATGATAAGCGAAGGTATTAACGGTTGGCAACTAATCGATTCTCCCCAAACCGGTTTCCTCGCGGTTTTTCGCACCTTTCTGTCACCTGTGCGGGGGTTTAATGTTTTATCAGGTATCAGTTGGATTCCTTGCAGTTTTCAACTGCTGGCAGATTGCTATTTGTTCTCTCTATTAACTCTCTGATTGAATTTAATTGATTTTAATTTATTTTTGTAGGTGCTGGTCAGCTGTGAGAGTGAGAGAAATAATAAACCGGCAGAGCCATCGGTGGGCATAAATGGAAGCTCGGTCTTCCCTAGTTATCGATAAGGGAAATTTTCGGTATTTTAATACTAAAGTAAATTTCCCGCTCAAACAAATTTTAAAATCATAAATTGATAAGGATTATCATTTTAAATGTAAATATTAAAAGGTTTAACATCCAAAACTAACTTAATTGAGATGAAGTTGCTAAATTAAATTATAAATATTAAATAAGTAAGATTTGGAAGAAGCGCTGAGTACGCGGAGTGTTCAAAAAGTAAGGTGACTTCAAATTTCGCGGGCAACATATTTTCGATTAACGATTTTTTTGTTTTATGTTGGTACACTCTTCCCTAACATCGGAACCAAGTTTCAATTCAATCAATATGGATCAAAGGATTTGCATTAAATTTTGTGTAAAAAATAATATTAAGTGCTCCAAAACACTTGAAATGTTGACAGTGGTATACGGTGAAACTGTTCTGAGTAAAAAAAATGTTTACAAGTGGTACAAACTCTTCCAAGATGGCCGGGAAGATGCCAATGACGAGCCTCGCTCTGGGCGCCCAAGCACGTCAATAACTGATGATAACGTTCAAGCAGTGAAGAAAATTGTTTTGGAAAATCGTCGAATCACAATGAGAGAAGTTGCTGAAGATGTCGGTATATCGCTTGGCTCGTGCCATGAAATCT